GTCCCAAAGTTTTCCCAGCAGTAACATGACAGGCAGCTGTCACTTCTGTGCACTTCATATGGTAGTCTTTAGGTGCTGAAGCTACATGAGAACTGCTGTCCTAGGCTTAATCATGCAAGTAATTTTGTGAATGTAAGCAGGATGTCTGCCTTTGCTGCTTGCTACTGATCTCTTTGTCTTTCCTCTATATTGCAGTGATTTCTAAGAATTACTTACAGAGCATGGATATGTAGCATCTTCTTTACTGGTGATCATTTCAAGTCTGTGCAGGCCATTAACTTTATTTGACAGTCAAACTTCATACATCTGTTAGTTAAACCTCTGACCTGAAACTTGAGATTTTACTTACTGTCTATTTTTATCTATTGGAAGTACTGGAATTTGGAAGTATTGAGTAGAATCTGCACGAAATTTGAGCTGGGCTTTAGGTTTCACTTTCAATCTCTGAAAATAAATTTATAAAAGAATTGAAGCAGGAGTTAAAATCTCATGAGAATCTTCTGTCATTTGAAAAATAAAATGTATGGTTTGTCCTCATAAGGATAGTGATATGCTGCAATAGATTTTAATTAGTTCAGTGATTCAAAGCTGAAAAATAGCAAGCCACATCTAAATGCAGTGTTAAAACCACTGCAGTTCTGCATTTAAATATTGTTGTGACAGGTCTAGTAACACTCTATTTTTTTGTTCCTCTGTTTTCAACAAATACAGAACCTATATGGTCAAAGCAAGTGTCTGTCTTGCAGATGGCACTAATAACAATTCTGCCTTTGTTAGTATATACAGAAGTACAGCTTGAATTCCTTCAGTGCAATAAAATACTTTATGCTTTGCATCTTGTGGAGGCAGATCTTTCACGTAACAAAGATGAAATATTTTTTAGAAAGGTACATGGAGGAAATGCTTGTGTAGCACAGCACTCCAGAATGTCCACCCAGATCAGACCAGAGTGTTGATTGCATGTTTTTATTTAAAAAAGTCTTTTTTAAGTCTGGTCTGATAGTCATAAATCTTCTACGTGCGGGTTTGTGAACGTCATCTCCTTTCTAGAAATGGAAAAATGTAAAAGGTCATAGAATCATGGAATGGTTTGGGTTGGAAGGAACCTTCAAGATCATGTAGTTCCAGCCCCCCTGCCATGGGCAGGGACACCTCCCACTAGACCAGGTTGCTCAAAACCCCATCCAGCCTAGTCTTGAATGCTGGGCAACCTGTTCTGGTGCCTCACTTTCCTCGCAGTAAAGAATTTCTGTCATATATCTGAACAAATTTTTTCCTCTTTCGGTTTGAACCCTTTACTCCTTGTTCTGTCACTACAGTTCCTGAGGAGGAGTCCCTCTCTGGTTTTATTGTTGTGGGTCCCCTTCAGATACTGGAAGGTTGCCATGGAGTCTCCACACAACCTTCTCTACTCCAGGCTGAACAGCCCCAGCTCTCTCAGCCTGTCTTTATCATAGGGGAGGTGTTCTAGTCCCCTTAGCAACTTCCTGGTCTTCCTCTGGACTCACTCCAACGGGTCCATGTCCTTCCTGTGCCCGGGACCCTAGAGCTGGATGCAGTACTCAAGATGGGGTCTCACCAGAGCAGAGCAGAGGGGCAGAATCCCCTCCCTTGACCTGCTGGCTGGACTCCTTTTGATGAAGCCCAGGATACATTTGGATTTCTGGGCTGCGAGTGCTTTGCTGGGTCATGGTGAGGTTTTCGTCAACCATCACCCCCAAGTCCTTCTCCACAGGGCTGCTCTCATCCGTTTTCCCACGGCCTGTAGGTGTGTCTGGGATTGCCCTGGCCCACGTGTGGGACCTTGCACTTTGCTTTGTTGAATTTCACGAGGTTCACACGCCCACCTCTCCAGCCTGTCAGGGTCCCTCTGAATGCCATCTCTTCCCTCCAGCATGTCAACCACACCACACAGCTTGATCTCATCTTGCAAACTCGCTGAGGCTGCACTCGATCCCGCTGGATTGCCACCCTCAGCAAGATGGAGTGACTTGGGATGGAAGTATCAGTGTTTCAATATTTTTTAAAAGGTTAGCATTTGAAATTAGAATTTCAAGTATTTATTGACCAAGATATTAGCTTGACGAGATTTCTGTGCTACAACAATCATAGGATGGTTTCCTAAACTGTAGCCCTAAGTAACCATCTGCATTTACCTTTTAGATGCTTATGCAGCTGAGGGTCTGCAGCTTGTTTCACTAAGCCGCTGGTGTACTATGTCATGGTATGGCAAAGTAGCAGCATCGAGCTTTGAGGACTCCTCACCAGTACTGAATGGATGTGCTCACTGCCCGAGGAGTTGCTCTTATTTCTTCTGAGGAAAAGTCTGTAGGGTATTTTTGTATGTGCCTGTGAATACCATGTGTATGTTAACTTGAAACCCTTGAAGTATGTAGTTAATATGGTTATTGATTTTTGTGAGGTGTAATAAATAATTGGTTTGGGGAATTCCAGAGTAATTTTTATCAGGGTAAAATTAAGCAACTTTATAGAATGACCTTTGTTCTCTTAATTGTACTTTAAACCATAAAGTTCCATGATGAGAGGAGCTTTTTTGTAGTAGAATTTGAACTAGTGGTTATTATAAAGTATATTCATAGAGTGTTAAAGTGAATGCTTTAATTGAAAAGTGGGGAATGCTGCATTTGGAAGACTGACACATCTGTGTGATTTTAACAAGGCCAAGTGCCAGGTCCTGTACTTGGGGCACAACAATCCCCTGCAGTGCTACAGGCTTGGAGAAGAGTGGCTGGAAAGTGACCCAGTGGGAAAGGATCTGAGCGTGCTGGTCAACAGCAGCTGAAAGTGGCCAAGAAGGCCAGTGACATCCTGGCTTGGATCAGGAATACTGTGTCCAGCAGGACCAGGGCACTGATTGTCCTCCTGTAATCGGCACTGGTGAGACCACACCTGGAGCCCTGTGTCCAGTTCTGGGCCCCTCAATTCAGGAAGGAGATTGAGGTACTGGAGTGAGTCCGGAGAAGGGCTATGGAGCTGGTAAAGGGTCTGGGGCACAAGTCCTGTAAGGAGCAGCTGAGGGAGCTGGGAGTGTTTAGCCTGGAGAAGAGGAGGCTCAGGGATGACCTTACCACTCTCTACAACTCCCTGAAAGGAGGTTGTGTGAGCTGAGGTTGGCAACCACCGACAGTACAAGAGGACAGAGCCTCAAGCTGCGCCAGGGGAGCAATGTCTTCACGGGAAGGGTTGTTAAGTATTGGAACAGACTGCTCAGGGAGGTCATGGAGTCACCGTCTGGAGGTGTTCAAGAAATGATTGAACATGCACTGAGTGCCATGGTCTAGTTGACAAGGCAATGATCGGTCAAAGATTGGACTCGATGAGCTTGGAGGTCTTCTCCGATCTAAATGATTCTGTGATTTTATGTTTTGTCTTGTCAGAGCAGCTGAAGGCTCTCAGTTACTTCTAAAATTCCTGAACATCATGTAAACAGTGTAATTTGTAAATTTGATTTGTTTGATCTCTTCTGTGGGATTTGTTTAGTGACATAGCTCTTGAAAATCTTCCAGCAGTTCTTTAACTGAGAAAACAGGAGCAGAGAACCCAGCGTAGAAGCAGCCTGTAGATATGCCTGTCTGCCCCTTCCACCCTCCACTGCATACCCCAAGTCAAATAGCACACCACACTTTACATGTGCCCCTGTGTGTACCAGACTTGGCTGCCTGTCTCTGGAGAGAAGGAATTCAGGCTAAAGCAAGGGCTCTTTGGAGTCTCTGATTAGGAGGAAAATTGTAAGTCTTAATTAAGTCTTATGACACAGGGCATTGTACTTGATAATGATCAGAACGTTGTAAGTCAGCAGTTTCAAAATTGTGGTTCTGAAACTCTATTAAACTTTCGAATCATTTTAGCAAACTGCATGTAACTTCCAGTTGAGAGCAGGTAAAACTAGTAAGCAGCAAAACATTTCAATTGTGGGATGTTGGTTTTCTGATTTTTTGTTTGTTTGTTTGTTTTAAATTCTTAAAACCTCTGTCAAATCTGAAATTACAAACTGATGTGTAAAGAAAACTTCTAGATAAAGCAATTAATAATCTTGGAATTTTAAGACTTCCAAACTGAATCTTCAGCTCCGTACACAAAGGAAAAAAAATCTTGCTTTATGTGTCATCTTGCTGAGAAGTTAAATGCAGGAGTCTAATTTGGGCTGGTTTTGTAGGTCATTTGGTGGGGCAAATAGGGCACGTCAGTAAAGATCACGTCGATGTTTTTTGTTTTGGTAATCTTTACTGAGGGCACAGTTGAAGAAATTTGGAGAAAGAACAGTGATGTTATTAGCATCTTCATTTTCCCTTCCTGTTTTTCCTTACTGGAAAAATGCTTTGGATTCAGAAACTGGTTAATTTGACGTTTGCAGTCAGAAAACAGTTGTGTCCACGTCACGTTTGCTTTTGCATTTTTGGGGGTACCACTAAGGCAGGGTTACTTTAAGAGTGTTAGGAATAAAGTCAGTAACGTCATCCCTTTTCTACCTTCAGCTGCATACTTCAAAATGGGTTCATATTAATAAAAACTTTCCTACAGGAAGTAATTCAGACATGAAAGAAGAGTTTCATATGAAACTGGAGAGCTTCTTAATTTATACATGCAATAATAAACTGAATTACAGGGTTATATGCTAATCCTATGCCTGAGCCATTTCAGGTAAAATGTTTACCTGTACCTGGAGGGCTTTTTAAAGATAATCAAGGAACTTGTTAATATGAATTTGTACCTTGAATTGTTTACATTTTCTTATCCGTTCACTTCTTACTTTATGAAATGTAGTCTGACGCATATTAAAACTTAACTGGCATTTTCTGTAACATTGCTGCTATGATAATTAAAATAGTCTACTCCTTCTGAAGTTATTTTGTGAATGGTGCTTTGAAACTCAGTAATAATATTTTACTTTTACTTTAAAACTGACTTTAAGCAAGATAAAAGTCAATTGACAGCTTTAAAGTATTATGACTTGTTAATTTTGTTTTCATATGCTATAGGATATGTTTTGGAGTTGCAGACAAAGTATCTTTGCTGAAATGAAGAAGAAATTTTCACAGGTAGACAGATGAAATCATAACCAATCATAAAATGATAACCAAGAACCATAATAAAAGCATGATGCTGTAGCTTTTATTTTAACATGAGCATGACCTATTGACATTAAATTCTTTGTGCATGTTCTTGAATACAAAGATGATGTACGTAGCCAGTCTTAACAGCAGAAGCTTCCAAATGAGTATGTTTATATGCTTGTTACACTGGTGGGGGGGGGGTTTGGCTCTCTCTGGCTTTACATTTAAAAAAAAAAAAAGAATTCTGTAGCTGTCATAACAGATTATGTAATTACTAAAATTAATTTTTGTGCTCATGTTGTGGACTCGGGTTTAACAGCAGCCTGTCAAAGTGGTTTAGGAATCTGTCACTGGCCAGTATTGCCTTTCACACTATTTTTACAATAAAGTAGCCACAAACAAGGTGTTGCATCGTCTGATAGTTCAGATGGTGTGTGTGAATCCTTGCCAGGAACAGAGATGGACTGAGGTTATTTTTTACTTTATCTATTTACTATGAACAACTTGAAGCAGCGGCAGCAGGAATGATTGATGACTTCGCTATACTAATGCTGAGTTAAACCAGTTCAGTCTGTCAGAATTACATCTGTGAACAAGGAAGAGAGGATTTGTGTGACATGGAACATCCAGCAACCCAACCAGCAAATCTTCTGTAATCTTCTATAATTTGTTCCCTTAATGTTATTTCCATCCGTCAGATTCTGCGTGTCTAATTATTTTTGGTAGCAACTCTAATGTAGAGTCACAACTGATTCACTACCAAAGGTAGCAGAGAAAGTGTGAGTGGGAGGAGTTGAATTTATAAGTAACTTCTGCAGAGAGGGGAATTAGTGTTGATTACCTAAAGGCAGTAGCACAAGGAATTGAGTCTCCAGTGGAGAACTTCTGTTCCCAGTATGCTCATATACAGTAGCCCATCAAGCTGTAGGTTCAGTACAAAATTACTGTGGGAATAATTAAATCCAAATTAACTTAGGTTTTCCTAGATGAACCTGTATGAATAGTAGCAAGTGCCTCTTAACCTCTCTGCACTGTTCTATAGAGGAGGGTGGGCTTCCACCCAAAGTAAGCCTTTACCATTGCTGAGAGGTCTGGGTTCTAAGTGTAGATTCATCTTTCCAGTTTGTTGGGTTTTAGCTGCTGCTCATCTTCTAAAAAATCAAGAAAGAACACCACTGAACAAGCTTTATCTTCTCTTTTCTAACCACACAGTGAAAGAGACAAATTGTGTGGTGCTTGTTTAGCCAAAAAAAAAAAAAAATGATGCTGTGCTGGGAAATTTAAAGAAGAGAGTCCAGGAGAAGTAATCACTGGTGAAATTTAATTTTAGTCTACTCAAGTACAGCCTTGTGTCTCTCTGTGGGTGCGTTAGATGAAAGTGAGGATATTATATGTCAAAATTACTTTGACTTCCAAATCGTTTTCTTCTTAATGTGTGGTTAATGTTTCAGGAATAGTTTTGTCTGTCTTCTTGGAAAGTAATTCATAAACATAAAATTCTCCAGTAAAGATGAAATTTATGAAGATGAAATGTTGCAGATTTGCTGGAAATGGTGCCTTGAATCTTTGAGCGTGCAATTAATGAAGGTTTCCAGACAGGCTATTACATTTGATAAACTTAGAGAAATTGAGCTCTAAAGTCCAATCACAATCAAAAGCAAACTAATGTCATACTCAGACTGGGGGTAAGGGTGGTTTTATTTGCTTTTCTCTAACAACTTTCTTCTGATGCTGATAGGAATAGATGCTGCAGTCAGCTGACATTTTATTTTATAGTTGCATGAACTCTGCCGGCAGATCTTGGAATTTTGTAAAATGAAGGCATGCAGCATCAGCTAAAATGTCCATGTTCCTTTTCAAAAGTTTGGTGATGTAAGAGCTCTCATAAGGGACTGTACCACTTTGGTGGTGGTCATCTGTGTTGTGAGCCTGGTTGTGCAGAAATACAAGGGATGCTGAAGTTGTTCAGATCTTCTTTGTAGTTCTTTATTCTCTAGCAGATGCTTGTGGCGTGGCTGACACTTCTAGCACGAACACAGTTATTGCCATTTATTGTTCTTATCCACTGAGAACTGTGATAGCACTGCATGTGTCTTTTTGCCGTTTTAGATGATGTGGCCTTTTAGCTATGGACTGAGATTTGGGCCCGCTGACATGCATTACTAATGCTTTCTGTGTGTTACAGCTTGAAAAGGCTGAGTCCTTGGGGACTAATTATTCCTTTTGCTGACCTGATCCTTTCTTGTGTGATGTGTATTTAAATATTAACTATTCCTTGTTGTTCTGCAGTTTTGGACAATTGAGAGAATTGATTGATTGTGCTTAGATCTTTAACTTCCTGGGTTTTCACTGTTGGGAAAATGCCATTTTTTCTTGGCTTACCTGGGTCCATAAAATTTTATCATTGTTCCATTGCAACTTTCATTCAACATTGTTACTTTTCTGATTTCAGGTGTACTGAAGTTTCTGTTTAAACTCTCTTTACTTTGTCCAGTAGCCATTGGGCAATGCTAATTTTCTTACTCTGTTCAGGCAGAAGAATATCTCCTGTGACTCAGACAGTAGTGGATTTAGTAGGAAGTTGGTGGCTTGATTATGAAACTTTTTGCTTAATGGTCAGCTTCCAGGATTATTTGAAAACTTTCATATTTTCTGTGTTACAGTCCTAAAAGTCAAAAAGATATATTCTTCCTCAGCAGGATTTATGATCATGTCAAAGCAAAATGCAAGCTGGAAGTGATGATTTGAAAGTCTGTTCCTGATTTGAAGCAGTGTTGTATCTGCTTGCTGGCTGCAATTCTGTGTGGAACTTGAACAGTTTCTCTACACCCAAACAAATTCCTTCTTTTTCTATAAAAATTGAGCTTGTTTTTGTGTGGTTTTCAAAAGATTCTTTAATTTTCTTATGCCTGCTTTCAAAAAATGAAGTCCAGTTTTAGAATCCTTAGGTTGTAAAAGTATATACAACATTTTATTGGCGTAGCCTTGTTTTGATTTTTCAGTTAAACTCCAAAAATGTTCTTGACTTTACTCATGAATTACCTGCTGTCATTTCAGGCAGAAAGTGCTGCTGAGGAGCCCAGGGTGCTGTGTATAATACAGGATACCACAAACTCCAAGACAGTGAACGAGCGTGTTACCTTGAACCTTCCGGCTTCCACCCCAGTGAAAAGGCTGTTTGAGGACGTGGCTTCCAAAGTGGGCTACGTGAACGGGTCCTTTGATTTGATGTGGGGCAATGGAGACAATGTCACTGACACGGTACAGCAAAAGGGCTTTTTATTGCCTCTTGGTAGCAAACACTGAAATTTCCAAAGTATAGAAAACTTCTGTCTGTATTGCATAGGGCTCATTCAGTTCCTGTAAGATTTTGTGGTAGGTGCACCGGAGCAGACTGACACCACTGTTTTGGTTGAATTTTAATCTAAAAGTGTGCTCTTTGATGATACGTGTGCTTAATCATTAAACAAAAGCTAATATGATCCTTCAGATGTAGTGCTAGTTTTCATTATCAGTATGTGCTTTTAATAATAATACCCATGATAATTAATCTCTGTTTCCCGTGGTCTTGTTTGAGAAATGTCATCTTCTCAATAACAGCATGTTGTATAGTGACTCCTCACATTTCCTATGCCTATTTTAACGTATTATATACAAAAAATATGATTAATATAACTCATATGCTTTACTGTAAATAAGTGCTGATTTTATTTAATAGTATTTCTGTAGATGCACCTAGAAAACTTTGTAAGATTTGTTAAGAAATAGAATTTAGTTTATTTCAGGTCATGTTTATTCCTGCTGAAAGGAATTTTTTTTCTTTTAAAGAAAATAGTGTCTGCAAGCTATAGAGGACACTGGATACTGTGATGTTTGCAAGAAACTTGTAGGCAGTGTCTTGACTCCTGCATAGATTAACCAACTTCTAAGCATTAAACTGTACTGTTTCTTGAACTGTTCCCAGGTTATTTCAGTAATAATGATAAGTGTATTTTGTTCAGTGAATGATTATTTATTTTCATGTAATCTTACTCTGTCAGTACAGTAAAGCATCAAGCAATGTACTTGAACGGGATCTGCTAATTGCATACAGATCTGTTAAAGAAAAGTGGGTTTTTTTGTTTTACTCTTTTTTAGCAGACTCCAATAGATCAGAACAGTGACAAAACTATTCTTGATGCTGGTTTTGAGCCGGGGAAGAAGAACTTTCTGCATTTGACAGACAAAGACGGTGAGCAGCCTCAGACAATGCCGGTGAGTAAAATCTTCACTCAGCTACAGAAGCTACAGTGCTGGGGGGGGAGAGGTGTATGTTCTCTGTATTGCTCTTGTGAGATCAGAAAATGAAATAAAATTGGGCTGTATGTTTCATATAATAAGCTTCTTTGGGAACTTTCCCAACAGACTTGTAGACTACTGTTTTACACTTGTGGGTTTCTCCTGAGTAGGGCCAATTCCAGAAGTAATGATTTGCTGTCACTCTTTATTCATGCTTGTTAAATATTTATGTAATGCTTTGCTGCAAGTAGTTTTCTGAGGCTCTATAATTAACTAATCATTGACATGTTCAGAGATGAATCTTAACAATACATATTTAATCCTTTACCTGATCCTATATTAGGCCGCTCTGACAGAATTCTCAAAAATAGCAGTCCTGTATCAACAGCAGTTATCTGCTTCCACATTTACCTCTATGGAAAAATAAATAAATCTATTTATATATATAAAAAGAAGAGTTGTCAGTGTTGCTAGAAGCAACTGTTTGCCATAACAAAATTTTTGAAGTTTCTTATTTCTCAAATATGTGATACACATGGCTGCAATTGATTTAAATCAAGGATTGGATAGACTAGTGATAGATTAAGATTTATTACTCAGCTCTCCTATCAGTGCAATGCTGGCCTACTTAGCCTTTGTTATGGACCTTATTATCTGAAAAAGGGAGAAAGAACCCCACATCTAAATACTTGTCCCCAAGGTCAGAGTTTAAGGATGATTCTGAAAGAATATTGGATTAAATTTTTTACATCTAGAAAACTTATTCTGTATTTCAGTGCAGAAAACTTGAGACATAAGAGATCCTAAATTGCAAACTTGCTTGTTGTATACATTTTAATACTGTATTTGATTATACTGTATTCTAAAGGGCCTTTGCTTCCACCAACACAAAGAACTATTCTCAAGGGACTGAGAATTTGGAGGGCAGAACTAAAGTTGTACTGTGTATCTGCAATTTTGAGAAATTCGTGTGATGTGCTTAGCAAAATTTATTTCTCTCTCGTGGCTAAGAAATTGAACTTGTAGGTGCTTCAGTAAAAATTTATTGTCTAACTTGTGCATGAAATGGTTGTGTTTGTTTTCAGGAGGAGTCAGGTACAACAGATGAGAGTGCACAAGAGAGATTTATAGGCCCTCTTCCAAGAGAAGGCTCTGTTGGATGTACCAATGACTATGTCAGTCAAAGCTATTCTTATTCTTCAGTCCTGAGCAAATCAGAGACAGGTATAACTGTTCTCTCTTGTAAAGGCAATGCTAATTTGTAATTATTTTAGCACATTTTCAAATAGCAGCACTTCAAGTTTGTTTTTTTTTTTAATAAATGTAGTTTCTTTAAAAAAATCCACATCACTATGATGTTTTCTATCATGTTTTGTGTAATATTCTCGTATCACTTTAGAAACAGAAGAACTGTATCCCATCCTTTTCTTCCTTGGGACAGTGCAATACAAACTCTGGCAGGGACTCTAGTTTGCAGTATTCCTGTGGTCCTACATCCCTAGTTGAGTAGTCAGGGTTGTTTTAGCAAGAAGTTCAACTCCAGCTGTGTGTTCACTCACAGCTTAGTGAGCACTTGAGGGGCTCTTGCCAGATCTCTGCACTTGGCATATTAACTGAAGTCTTCCTGCTGTAGCCACTGGTTGCAGCTTCTCTGCTTACACCTCCCCAGGAGGTTTATCATCCATCCCCTCCAGCGAGCAGGGATTCCCAGGAAGGGCAGTGCCAGGGCAGGTCCCGGGAAGCCTTGACTGTGCAGCAGGAGACAGCAAGTTACAGCTGTAATGAAGCAAAGTCCTCACAGGAAATTTAGTGAGCAGGCACAAAGATGGCTTTCATATTACACCAGTTCATGCCTGCTTAGGATTTTTTTTTTGACAAACAAGGAAGTTTATCTGCCACATACATTTTATGATTTAATATAGCTGAAAAGATGATTTATGTAGAGTGACAAATAAAATACATGTGTTCTGACTCAGTCTCTTCACAGAAAGTGCCTGTGTTGTGGAGTAGCTGCCTTTTCATTACTAGTATGGTACTGAGATTATTCTTTTTTTTTAGTAGTCAATAAGAACTTCACAGTAAAAATTGGCATATTTAATTTCTTTATTACACTGTGCTTTGATATATGCTCCTTGCTTATCAATTGTTGCTAGTATTGCATATTTTGGAGAAAATCTTAAAATTACATTAAAGATTAATACAAGTAAATAATTTCATTTTCAGCTAATAAAAATGAAACAGTTTTAGTAGTTTAATTTGGTTTTTTATTTAAGTATTAAGGGGGAAGGTTGTAGAACAGTAGTGTTGTGTGGGCACTTTAGAGATTGATTTTTTTTTTTATTTATTTCTAATTCAGAGACAATAGTACACACCAGTGCAGATACAAATTATATTTATGTTATTACTGGGATACTCTTAGTTGACACCAGGTGATAAGTAAGCTAGTACACAATTGTTTCTTAGCAAATTCTAGTTTATTCTGTAAAATATTTAAATCTGCTATTAAAATATTTGTAATTACCTACATCCAGTAGGTATTAGTGCACATTCAACATTAAATATTGGTTATTATTGTGATCACTAAAATAGCTTCATGTCATTCAGGGGAATTATTTCTGTTATGTAAACTATTACTCTCTGTTGCTCTCAGAAATGAGCAAATGTAACATTCCCTCAATTTTTATAGTAACAATAAATAACAACAGATTAATGCAGTTCTTAGACGTTGTCATAAAATTGTTTTCTTGTCAAATGTTTTAACTCTTAAAGTGATTTTCCATCTTTTTACATTATGTCCATCTCGTTATTCTTGCATTTTTAGGTTATGTGGGGCTAGTAAATCAAGCAATGACTTGCTACTTGAACAGCCTTCTACAAACACTTTTCATGACTCCTGAATTTAGAAATGCATTGTATAAGTGAGTATATAGAGTCAAAAACTGTTCTTAAATTTTTGCTGGTGTATATTGGTAGGAGACCCTTTGGAACTTCTCTTGTCAAAATTTCCTTTTTTGGGTACTGAAAAGCATTACTGAAGTCAAGCTGGATAGACTTACAAATTATATCTGCTTAAAAGTTTCAGATTTTTAGTAAAATATAAGTTATGTTATTGGTTGTGTCATGGACAAGCTTTTTAAAGGGTCTTGAAAACAGCAGACTTAAAGTTAAATTCAGTACTAAGTGCAGTTCATGTCTGCAGTGAATGGCTTCAAAATTTCCATTGGTTTGTGCGAGATCTGTAAATTTAAAAAATAGCATTGCCATTAAGTGCAGAAGTGGAAAGCAAATTGCATTTGGCTTTTCCCAAGAAACAGGTGCAGTTAACCTCTGTAACGTGGCAGACCTCTTGAAATGTAATAAACACTGGTTTAAATGCCTTTTGGAGTAACGTTTTCAGGGCGTTTTTAATTGTCAACTATCTTGTGTTGTGAATAGATGGGAATTTGAAGAATCCGAAGAGGACCCTGAGAGAAGTATCCCCTACCAGCTTCAAAGACTGTTTGTTTTACTGCAGACCAGCAAAAAAAGGGCGATTGAAACAACAGATGTTACACGGAGTTTTGGATGGGATAGTAGTGAAGGTGATGTGCAGCTTGTGTGATTTGCTTCAGCTGCTGCCTGCTGCAGGCCCTAAGCTGCTGTTTATGGGGGAAAATACCAGAATAATGTAAAATAAAATCCACTTTTTACAATGGATACAAAATAGCCTAAATGGATACTTTGTTGTTGGGCATCTGATTTTTAAAGAAATGTCGTCTGTGAGTTTTAGGCTGTTGAAGTCTAAAAGCATTACATTTTTTAATTAAACTGTCATTATAGTTGTTAATTGTTTCTAAAGAAGTAGCTCTTTATGAGAAACTTGCTTCTGTTTTGAAATATAAATGTCAAATGCACATGTTGCACTTCTGAAATTGCCCATGTTATTGTCTTACTTCAAGTCAAACACTGTATTTGTCTTCTTGACACTTGTGTGGTGTAATTTCACCCCATAACCCACTGATTTTCTTTCTTTATCACATGATGATAAGGAGTTGGAACTTGAGTTTTGGAGAATCAGCACAAAGAGGGACATAGGTCTGAAACAGTTTATTTTATAAGTGCACATTAGCATTTCTATGATTTTTTACATATTCTTGCTTATATACATGGTTCTTGTTTATACATAAACACTGTGAGCAAGCTGGCTGCTTTTTTTTCTGACTTTAGAGGCAGCAGCTTGTGGAATTGAACACTGGCCCAGTAGTGAATAACAGTAAATAGCAGGTACAGACTTAAAGAAATGGGTAGCTTTTTAGGAAGCATTCTCAGGCTACAGTTAGTATTGGGACTAATAACATCTCTTGTTTTAATGAAGAATAATTTCAATTCCTAACAGCATGGCAGCAACATGATGTACAGGAGCTTTGTAGAGTCATGTTTGATGCTTTGGAGCAGAAATGGAAGCAAACGGAGCAGGTAAGCATGTAAAGACTTCCTTCACTGAGAGGTGTAGTACTGTTGTGAGGTTTTATGGGGTTTTTTAAGGATGGTTGTAAAAAATGTTTACTGAGTTTTAAATACCAGGTTATTGAAAAATCTGTGATAATTGCCAGTTTTCCTGTTTGATGCAATAGTTAAGCTACTATAATGTATGACTTCCACGAGTGTGTTGCGTGTGCTTTCCTCCCCCAGTTAAAAGTGGAATATTCTGAACTCTGGATGCCTAGTCTTTATTTGAAGCACAGAAAGTGGTTGTGTAACTCCTGTGATGGCTTTCTTGCTGTCAGTATTTATTAGGCTTTGTTGTGGGCTCGAGAAGCTCGAGCTCTCTCTTCTAATATAGGAGGAAGTTAGGAATATATTCATGGCACATGATACATTCTGATAAGTGGACAACTTTTTGCAGGCTAGTTTTGAAATTTATAGATTAGGAAATACTCCTCTCTCTTTCTGCACTTGTCTGTGAAGGCACAGGGAAAGGTTGCAGGATCAGACTGTAAATGTCTGGAAGATCAGGCTTGTTTTAAAAGTTACTTTAATTTGGTGGGTTTGTAGTCGCTTGTAAGACATGACCACAAAGGACATTGTGAAGCTTATGTAATGTGGTTTGAGAAGCTCATTTGATATGTCTTTTGAGCAGGGGAAAATAGGAAATCAGAGGGTTGATGTGCTGCTGGGGAATGGTATTTTGGATGTGTAGCTGTACAATTTAGACGTAGTGAATAAAAAGGCATTTTCTTGTAAAACTAAAGAAAATAAATACGTTAACGGTTCATTCTTCTTAAACCTCTGTTGAACACGTTTGTTTCAGGCTGATCTTATAAATCAACTGTACCAAGGCAAACTGAAGGACTATGTCAGGTGTCTAGAATGTGGCTATGAAGGCTGGAGAATCGACACTTACCTGGATATCCCGTTGGTCATCCGGCCGTACGGCTCCAGCCAGGCGTTTGCTAGCGTGGTGTGTACTATTCTGCTGCCTAATAGTGCATCCATACACACATAGAATACATAATGCCACAGTGGGATAATTGGTTCCGTGGTAAGTATCATCCTAGATACTCCATCTTGGGGTGTTCGTCTTTGTGCAGTGAACCAGCTAGCAAGTTCTAGAAGATTTTTATTTTATTTTTTTTTTTGGCTTTTTGGTTTATTTTTTGGTTTGGTTTTTTTGTTGGTTTTTTTTTTTTTTCTTTTGCCCTTCAATGAGTCCTACTGGTGCATGTATAAGGGGAGGGGAAATGCAACTTTATTGCCTTAGGGCTGCAGTAATCAATTATTTTCTTCCTGATAAAATCTTCAACATTTACTTGAGATATATTTTTATGAGATCACAAAAGTTTTATTTGGGTTGTTCTTTTTTATTGGCACATCTGCTAAATTTTCTTAGCATTGTTGCAAAGCTTAGTGAAAGAGCAGAATATTGACTTTAAATTTTTTAGTTTAATTGCCATGTTGTTGCTGTGCCATTTAAAGTTCACTTCTTAAATACCATATGCTTTTAACAAGCGATATGATGATGATAAAAAATCCTGTCATACATCAGTGTTCGTGGTCACGCTTGCTCCAGCTTTACTGATGCTGGCAAGCCTATATATTGCTTAGTAAATCTGTGGAAGTTCTTTTGGTTTAATTTTTGCACCCCTCTGGAAAAAAAAAAGTAATTTCAAATTGTGAAATTCCACGGTTGTGGCTTAGGATGCCTGTACTATGGATGGAGTTGTGAGAAAGAAGAATAAATCAAAAGATTGTTTTAAACAAACACTTGTTGTGTAATTGGCTTATTCATTATATATTTAGTACTTTTCCTTATGTATTTAGTGTGATAGCGATATTTTTAAAGCACTGATAGTCCATAATTCTTAACAGCAATTCTGTTAAGAATTGTTAGGATTAGTTCAAACTGCAGAGTAGGTTCAAAGTACTTCATGCTTTAAAACTTTAAATACCAATCTTGAGAAGTAGTAAAGGTGAGGGACACTGATCTCATAAAGAATTCAAGTTAGTAAAGTCCTTTGAATTCTTTTAAAGATGACATGAAAATTTTTTAGAACTGTCTGGCTAATTGAAGCTGTCTTGATACAGATTGATATTTTATATGGATGGCTTCCCTTTTCACCTTTTAAAGGTAATTTCTAGCAATATTCCCTAAACCAATTTTTTTTTTGTAATTTTTATTCAGTAGTGAGGTTTCTATGATCCGTTAAAATAACGAGGACTATTCAGTTTGTGTAGTTGGAGTCCACATTTAACAATGCATTGTACATGTCTCTCAAATTGAAAATTTTTCTCTTTAGTGAAGTCTATAGTGGAATGCTTAAAAAAAAAAAGACTTTGTCTATTCATAAAAACACAGAAAACTTGAGAAAAATAAGAATTTAAATATCAGATTACTTTTAACAGTATTTGATATTTCTCCTGTAAATCAGCATTTACTGGGTTTACACTGAGGAAAATAATTCTAAGATTTTTTGTTACACAAACTTATATGGTTGCAACTTGTATTGCTGCTTCAATTTTTGAGCTTTTTTAATTCATACTCTGATAATAATCAGTTGATTCTCCTCCCTGCATTTGTATTATCTATAGCAGATGTAATTTTTAGTTCTGTAGTCTTCAGCAGTGGGGAGATATGGAGGATACTTGCTTTTGGAGAAGGGAAAAATCGCCTGTTTCTAAATGGAATTCTCTGAAGGTAGTATCCTCCATTGATCCATAGATGGTGGTGATTTAGTAGGTGTAGGTCAAAGGGCACGAATGAGAGATCCAAAACTTCACACATGCGCTAATAGGGCTTATAGAAGGGAATGTAAAACTTTTTAGACCTTGCTAGTCAGCTCCTGAGGGAACTTGCAGCAGGCGACACAACCCAAGATAGGGGATCTAAGGAGGATACTACCTTCAAAGAACTCTAGTTAGAGGTAAGTGATTTTCCATTACTTTCTAATGAGAGATGGATGAGCCTTAAGTAAGGTTAATCTGTAGAATGGCTTACAAAGAGTATTATCCCACTGTTCGACATTGTGTACTACTAAAAAAATGTAGACACTTGAAATGTTGATTTATTTATAAATATGTATGTAATACTTCTCAATACATGGGAACATTGAAGAACTGGGAAGGGTAATGTTATGCTTGCTTTATTTTCTAATGTGAACTAATTCTGAAATTCTTCAGTGTGGTCTTAAGGTTTGCATTTGGAATTTTTTTTTTCTGATTCCCCACTCCGTCCCCCAAGTTCATGTAGTAAGACTGCATAGCTGCAAACTCATTAGGGCAGCTCTGGGGCACTAAGATCTGGCACACTGTCAGCGTGTAACTCAAGATGTTTTCTGAAAAAGTACTCATGCTATCTGAATTGTTCAAGGGCACGACATCAGAAAAAAATCAGTCTTTTCTTGGGGTCAGTAGAAATACAGACATAAAAATGTATAGCTTATTTCAGGGAGGTAAACAGGAGCAGCAGTCCACATACTCAGTTTTGTAGGCATTAGTATCTTTTGTATAGATGCCTGACTTCAACAGCATTAAACATAAGTTGAAATGTTTTGCAGTAGAAAAAAAAGCTTAAAAATTTTGCAAGATGAACAGCTGAGAGAAAAGTAGATGCAACAGGGAACTGGCAGTGACGCTGAAATTGTTACTAGAAAACAGTGAAAGTTGCTTTGTAATACCAGAAGACTAGTAATAATACAAGTATTCTGCAGGTGTAATAAGTACAGTTGTTTTTTGTTAAGTGTTGTTAGTTTGCAAGATGTTTTGTTGGCTAGTTTTTCTTTTGAGGATGTAAGTATGCAAACAAGTAGTCATCTTTTGGGCAGAAATTAACTTGGACTTCTATGTGAACTTACTTTATGGTGTCCTTGCCAAACTGTTGAAGGTGGAATAAGGATGATGTGATATTTACTTTTTTTTTTTTAATCTAAATTGGTTACAGTGAGGTCTTTGAACATGGCAAAACTGGTGAGCTCTGAAAATCCAAGATGGCAGTTTCTAGTTTTTTTCAAGAGCAGTTTTGCCTAAATGCTATTTGTTGTGTAATTTTTTTCATAGAGGTTTTGCTGCTCCTCTTCACAGGTTTTATAAATTTACACATTTACAGATACAGTATGATGCCTGTCAAACTACTCACTAGATCATAATATGTTTTTGTCGAGAGGAGGTTGTCTGAAGTGCCTCTCTAGCCAGACAATAATTAGTTTGAGCTGGTTTTTTTTGGCATTTTAATATGCTAAGTGATAGAAATCTCAGAATATTTAAAACTGGATATAATCAGAACTTGGCTGAGCAATGTGCTTGAAGTTGGACCTGATCTGAGCAGGGGGTTAAGATCAAGTGTTCTCCAGAAGTTTCTTTCAGCCCGTATTGTTCTTTTGATTCTTTGAACTCCAAAGAAGTTTAAATAGCTTTTGTCACACTAATCTATTGCTTGATCATTTCTGGGATATTTTGAAGTGTGTGTAGGCAGTGTTGGAAGTGCTTGGTAACTCCAAGGCTACATAATAGTCAGCACTTTGAAGGTAACTTCAAAGGTAGCGTTGACTCTTCAAGCAGAGCCGCACGGCAGGATGTGTGGTGGGAGAGGCTGTGCAGTGTAGCTTTGTCACTGGTTTTGCTGAGTAAACTGTCAGGGTAGAAAGTAGTGAACTGCACTAGAATAGGAATTGTATTAAGAGACATCCTAATCAGCAGAACTAAGTTTGGTGTAAAGATTGTAGAGGAGACAGATGAGTAAATCTGGGGAACAGCAATGCTGCTACACAAGGAGTGAAAAATACATGGCTATTTATATAGCTCACAAGTGATGGAGTTCCCAGGAGTTTTAATCAGGCTTTTCAAAGCAAAGCTTACTATGTGTGGTAAGCAGTGAAACCACAACAGTAATGTGATAGTACTGCATTGCATTTTCAGGGGGCTGAAGCATCATCACTTTTTGCCTTGTGTAAAAATTTGTAGTATATTTCCTTGTTAAATTGCACATCACATGAGTCTACATAAGCATTACACAATCCTTTATGTCCCATCCTTTGTGTATTTCCACTTATATTCATGTCAAAGCATGAATGGCAACGTTTTTCTTACACTCAAAATATATTTTTTTTGCCATAACAGACATTTGATTTGTAAGAAATAGTTCTGTCACTATGTGATTATTAGTATTTCCTTATGTGATGTTTTCTGATTCATATTTTCTGTGTTGGCTATTAACTTTTTTTGCTTTCATTTAAATAGTTCTGAATAATAGTCAAAATGCAGTAATCCATTTCTTCCCCTTTTTGAGCAGGGTTATAACTTGCTAGGTCTTTTTTCTTAGAATTTAGAATGAGATTCCTTGTATTTCAGTGCATAATATTACCAAGTGTAAGCTCTTGAGTAAAAAGCAACTCAGCCTCTGTAGCATTTAGGAAGTAAAGACATAGACAACAATTCAGTTCAGACTCTTAAAAGGTTTTCATGTGTCTAGAAAGTCTCTCTGCCCAAGAACTGTGATTTCAGGGTTGTTCAAAGGCCTTTCTGGCTGTATCCAAAAATGGTAAATTGACATGACTGCCTTCATTGTACAGTTATTCTATTGAGTTTGGTGCGTTTTGCATTTGTGAATAGTTGTCACCAGAAATAGAGTCCTTTTTAAAAATCCTATCTCCTAGAACAGCAACAGAGCTTTTGTAAATTATTTGCTTTGTTGTTCTTCTTTCTGCTTGCCTGAGTTCTTGGAAAGGAAGAAAGGAAAAGGGAAGAATTTGGGGCTTTTTCAAGAACTTGGCATATCCTTGATTTCCTCCCAAAGTGGGACTTGCCAAACAACACAATTTAGACAGCAGTCTTAAGTTCTGCACCAGCCATGTTATGATTGGTGAGTTTACTCTGCCCAGTTAAGCCCCTTCTTACTTATTCAGGCTTCAGGGAACAGCTACAGCCCTTCATAAGGCGATGATGATTTTAAAAGCATTGTTTCTGTTATCATATTTGCTTTAAACTAAATGTCTGAATGTGCAAGATGAATTCGTTTTGGCCTCCATAGGTGAACAGAGAAATTTTGGTCTCACCTTGGAGTTCAGAAACCCAGAGCCTGCTGGCTTGCAAGCTGACTGGGTTATAGGTTTTAACTTTTAAAATCTCTGGGTAAGATTCTTCACTGAACCCATCTCAATATTCTCGTGAATTTTGCTTGAAAAAGTTTGGTCTCAAGTACATTCAACTTATGTGCAGTGTCATTGCAGCAAATCATTTGTGGGGAAGACAAATCAGATCAGTTTGGTTGTATTTGGTTTGCTGTAGAGAGGAGTGAAGTAGAAATCATTAACTCCTGGATGTAAGCATTAGTGACAGAATTATTGGGATTTTAGAACTGCCCCAAACTAGGCAGCTGTCAGAAGAGAAAATTCCAGTTATTGGTAGTTGCTTCCTAGGTTTGCACTAGGAAACTAGTTCTGCCATTACAGATGTCCATATCCACTTCTTTGAGAGCAAAACTGAAATACTCTCCCTCTGTCCCTTCCTCACCTTTCACTTAAAAATAGTGTCTTCAAATGCAGTTTCTGAAGACCCTTTGTAGAATGGGACTAATGCTGTCTTCATGGAGGGCATTTGAGGAACGTTTTTTCCTCCCACCTCCTTCTTCCCCCTGTGAATATTGGATGGTATTTCTTGGGAAAAACTTCTTTAGAAATACAGAAGAACCATCTGACAAAGCAGGGTTAAAAAATAAGCTTGTTTTCACAGCATTTGACTCTATAGACATGACTAAATGTGATGTGCAAGATAACAGGAGTAATTTTATTTTGTAGGTTTATTAAAACAGACAATTGGGATTCATCAAATACTGAATGAGATAAGAGTTAACAACAGTTGTGGTTTGACTGTTTACCTTGGGCTGGGTAGAAAGGTTAATTTCTTGTCATGTTTTCCTGACTTTTGTGTCTGTATCAAAGTTTATGTCAATCAAATATTGTTGGTAGATTTAATTGAAGTATTTGGTACACGTTTGTAATCTCACTGTCAATTTATCATTCTGAGTTATACCTACATAGTAGACATTCTCTAAAAATTGGGTAACATCTTTTTGTTGTTAGGAAGAAGCACTGCATGCTTTCATTCAGCCCGAGATCCTTGATGGCCCAAATCAGTACTTCTGTGAACGATGTAAGAAGAAATGTGATGCAAGGAAGGTAAAGACCGTCCCAATCATTGGCAAAAATTAGTTTTGGGGCATACAAATCCCGATAGTGGGAGCATAACCTTGTCTTTGCTTCGTTCAGGGTCTGCGGTTCTTGCACTTTCCGTACCTGCTGACGTTACAGCTGAAGAGGTTTGACTTCGATTACACCACCATGCACAGGATCAAACTCAATGATCGCATGACTTTCCCTGAGGAGCTGGACATGAGCGTCTTCATTGATGTTGAGGATGAGGTGAAGTGTTCGGTTTCAGAGAAAGCTATTTAACTTCCTTGAAGTTTCTCATTAAGAAAATTAAAAGTTTGGTCTTATAAAACCATTTTAACATCACTCATCTACCTAAATAGTTGTTTAGACATGGCAATGCTATAATTTGAGGATTTTAAATCTGTCCATGTGGATTTCTTTCTTTTTATACTGCAAAGGAAGCATGTTCTCTAGTCACCATAGGGTTTCATGGTTCCATAAAGAAGCTGTTTCAGATTTCTTACATCTTCAGTGTTTTAAAGACACAAGTCTCACGGCTTCTATGTATACTGCAAATCCACAATCAAACATTTTTTTGAAACTTGTGTCTGAATCTGTGTTCATCATAACATGTGATGTAAAGTTACAAGCCTCTGAATGCTGAAGTTAGTCCAGAGATCATTAATGATGAATTCCTTCCCTCTGAGTCATACTGTAATGTATACTGTAGAAATGAGATTTTAAAAATTCTTTATTTTTCACATCCATCTTCTGGCTTTTTACTCTTCTGCTTTTGACCAAAATTCAGGTCGTGTGATTACATTCACCAAAAACTATTTAGTGTGCATTCTGCATTGAAGACTAAATTTATTCTCCTGACTCCATTCCTAAAAACGTTCTGTCGCTTCATTAGCTTGCACTGGTATAAGAGAAATACTGCCTTGATTGGCTTTTCTCACTCCATACAGACCTTTGTTTTATAAGTTATGCCACTTAAGCAGTTTGATACGTCTCAGAATGCGTTGCACACAAACCCCAGAAATACTGGTCAAGGAGTGAAGACACTAACAGAAACAAGTCTGTTCTTGATGCTGAATTGCAGAGGTCTCTAGGTTTTTGAGGAATTTCATTGGTTTGCAGATTGGAATTTTTTCATTTCACAAACACTTATTTCTTGTTCTATGTAGCTTTAAATGTTGTCTAATGTTAGTATGTATGTTTTATTTTTAAGAAGTCTCCCCAGACTGAGAGTTGCACTGATAGTGGAGCTGAAAATGAAGGCAGTTGTCACAGTGATCAGATGAGCAATGATTTTTCTAATGATGACGGAGTCGATGAAGGGATCTGCCTTGAAAGCAACAGCGCGGCAGAAAGAATTTCTAAAGCTGGCAGTGAAAAGGTATGCTCAAAAAATGCTGTATCGAATTTGATTCAGATGGAGTTCATTTCCTTCATAACACCCTGTATGATGCTCTGTTTTGGAATTGTGCCAAGGTGTTGATGGCACACCGGTGTGTTGCCGCACCTCTTGCTTGAGCAGCGTTGTGCAGTGCTGAATCTTCCTGTTTCTCATTCTGCCCCTGTAAAGGGGATTTTGTAGGGCTAAGGGTGAGCAAGAGCCTGGAAGAGGAACATAGCTGGGACAGCTGACCTGAATTGACCAGAGGGATATTCCGTGTCGTATTCCCTGCTGTGCAGCATCATGCTCAGCAGTAAAAAGCAGAGTCTTGCCAAAATAGCTGTTGCTCAGAGACTGACTGAGTCTTGGTCTGCTGAGTAATGCCTTTTATTTTATTTAACGCACTATTATTTTCTTTTTTCATATTTCCTTTACTTATTAAACTGGCACTGTCTCCAACTACAAGTTTTCTCACTTTTGCTCTTCTGATTCTCTGCACCATCCCACTTGGGAGAAGGAGTGACTGACTGCCTGAAGGGCTGCTCAGTTGATTGCCAGGGTAAACCCACCACAAAAATTATAAAAATACAATTAATTCTGATATTGGGGGTGAAGTGAGAGGTCAGGAGTGTGTGTCTTATTCAAACATTGACACTAAAGCAAAGCAAAGAATTTAACTGATTTGGAGGTCACCTGAGAATAAAGGTCTTCCCGGCTTGTCAGATTGGGAATTCCCAGAAAACTTGTTTTGGCAGCAGACCCTCAAACTGAAGACTGTTTTGTCTTGTGAGCAGTGTTTTCTCTTTGAGACCAGCTGTCAAAGGCCTACCTGATTTAGTTACAAAAGTGTCTTGCAGCTTAGTAGGAAATTGGAAAGTTTTGGTCAGTTGAATAGATGAGGCCAAGGGTCTAAATGTTAAATATTCCTTCAGTCATCTTCAGTTAATATGAAAGAATTGAGCAGCAGTCCTGCTTCTGTGGGACTTAAAGGTTGGCAGAGATCTTCAACAAACTTGACTGAGTTTTCTAGCCAATACAAAATTAATCAAAAATCTTGTTTTATCGTAATAACTACAATGTGTACTTCATGTATTGTTGTTCTGTAACTTGGCTAATAGCTTTTTTTCAGACTTGTTAGAAAGCTATTTGGCTTCAGCTGTTATTTTCATAAATATTAGAGGCTGACTTGCATTTTAATCTCCACATCTGTCCCTGTTTATATGTACCTTAAAGCATTTGAGAGAGTTTTTGATATATGTTCTGAATACTGTCAATCTTACTTGGAGAAAAAGAAAAAAATTATTAATTCCAGTCACTTGACTGGAACAAGACCAGAATATTGTAATGTGTCTGTAATGCAAATGGCATGTCCTAGTACTGACAGTAGCTTTAGCCAGTTATTTCATACTACTTGTTCTCAGGGCAAACAAGCTGTCAAGCTATGCCCATTAGCTTTTGGGTTTGGATGTCTTAATAGTGAATACAGAGCACGCAAAGCATTTACAGTGTGTTTGCTCTATATGCCCTAAAATATACTTGTAACACTCGTGAGTCAGTATTGTTCAGTTTTATATCTTTAATTTATATACAACACTGGAGGTATGTCCTTAGTGCCCTGTATTTCCATCCATTTATCTATGAAAAAAAGAGTTTGACAGCAAACTCGGGGTGGTGTGAGAGGAAATAATGCAGAGACTCATAAGCATTGAGTGGTGCGTGGCTGGGTTGCTCTGTACATTAATTGGCAAAATGCAGTCTTCGAGAATGCAGAGAAGGGTGATAGCAAATAAACCTAAACTTTGTAACAAATTCCTGTATAAGGTTTAGCATCTCAGATCTCTGATTCTGTTCAGTGCCTACTGCAGTACGTAATTTCTGTTACGCAAATCTGCTTTGTAACATCCAACCAGTTACATACTCAGGTTCCTGTAATTGTTTTGAAACTTTTTTAAATGACCATTTGGTTAACTTGGCTTTACTCGACACATATCACACTTTTTTCTTCTCTCCACAGAGTTCTTTACTGTATGAGCTCTTTTCTGTAATGGTTCACTCTGGAAGTGCTGCTGGTGGCCATTATTATGCCTGTATAAAATCTTTCAGTGATGACCAGTGGTACAGCTTTAATGATCAGCATGTTAGCAAGGTAAAAATAGTATTGTTATTATCTTTTATCCTCATGTTCATGGATGAACATTTCTATTTTGTGGTTTTATCACTTCTATATAATGAAGCTGGTTTTATGTGCAGGTATTTCAAGCATTGTTTTATCTTCTCATCCTAATGTCCTGCCATATACATGTTTCACTCAGTAGCTTAACTGATTTCTAGAAGTTTTTTATTTGTCTATTTGTTTTTGTGTGGTGGGAGGAGGAGTGTTATTTCGTGAAGGTGGGATGGTTCACGAAGAAGCTTTTCCTCATGCACAGACTAGACTAGATTTAGAATTTTGCCTTCTGTGCATATGAAGAGCACTTTTTGCTTACAGAAGTATATTTGTAGATCTGTTACAACCCAGACTGCTTTTAAACCTGTCCTGGTGATGCAGGTGTTACATGTACCCATAGATACTGTTGCAATCAAGAATCTTTATATTGTTTCTCTAAGTTCCTACTCGAAAAAATAAAAAATAAAAATGTTTACATCCATTGTAAAATTAAGAGGCAGATCACTTTGAAATAGCTTTTTAGCAGTCAGCAAATAAGCAGAAAACTTTTAGAAAATAATGATAATTATTGTGTGTTAATTGTGTAATGCCACTTTTCCTAGTGAAAATAAATGCATCTTAATTAGTGCAAGTTTCTCAAATAATCGTTAAATTGATTTTTTTTTTTATTTTATTTTAGATAACTCAGGAAGATATTAAGAAAACATATGGTGGATCTTCTGGAAGCAGAGGCTATTATTCCAGTGCTTTTGCTAGGTTAGTAGTACTGTAATATTAATTTTCTTTCTGGTAGTGTTTTAGTGTAGTCAAATAATGGCCAAGATGCATGTGCTTAACATATTAGCTTAAAATTAATAGCAGATGCTATAGTTGTAAGAACTACCCTGACTGCTGTTTCAAATCATTAAAATAATATATTTTTTTTTAATTCTGTTTGTTTACTGTATTGCTATGATATATATGACATAGCTCCTTACTGGGGAAAAAAAGAATAAAAGCAGCTTTTGAAGTTCATATTTCCTTCTGTCTGATAAATCCATATATCTATTATTTTCTCCACCAGCTCCACAAATGCATACATGCTGATATATAGACTGAAGGATCCAACAAGAAATGCAAGTAAGTTAGACAACTGTATTGGCAAAAGTTGATTTTTTTAAAATTAAGTATTGCATGTTTTGATTTTTGTTCGTCTTTATGAAACAATGTGATAAAGTACACTAATCTGCATTAAGTGTAACATTTATTTTATCATGATATTGATGATATCTTGAGACTTTTATTATCAATTAATTCACTTAATAGGGTAGAATTTACCTTTTATTGTAAAAACAGGCTCAAGTGCAGTCATCAGTCTTAGTGTATTTCTTTACAACAGCAGAGCTTCCCATACTGATATTGGAATACTACACTTCTGCTATTAGCATTTTCTTGTGTTGCTCATGTATAATTAGGGGGAATAAAAGTCTGACTTCAGTTTAAATCGTGAAAAAGAGAACAGGATGTGGTATAGTGGGAAATCTGGGTGGAGAAGAGAGAACGGAAAAAGACAAGAAAAATAACTATTAAATATACCTATAATGCCTAAGGTGTTGCTCACCATGAAAAAAAATGTCATTTTTTAAAACCATTGCTTTGTTTTTACTGTCAGAGTTTCTTGAGGCACATGAGTATCCAGAGCACATTAAACAACTGGTACAGAAAGAGAGAGAATTGGAAGAACAAGAAAAGAGGCAACGGGAAATCGAGCGCAACACTTGCAAGGTGAGCATTTCTGCTGAATTGAGTAACAGTACACTGCTGGTAAGCAATGTTTCTACAGAGAACAACTTTTTTATTGCAATACAAGGACTCTTTTGTGATAAATGTGTCTGCAGGAGCAATTCTTTTAAATTGGAAACCTGTACACAGTGGAGGAATCTGCTGGAGGTATTCACCGGAGATTTTTGCTGAGTTCATGTCTTCCATGTGAATTCGAATTGGTGTTAAAACCAAAACAAAACTAAATCTGACATCTCTTGCTTTCAGCATAATTAGTTCCAAAGAGTACATCATGCTGCATGTTAGGTGTTTAGTGCTTTTAAATCTTTTCATATTGCAACCTCTTACTTTATGAAATGGTGTTTCCTCAACTGATTTTAAATAGTTATTTGGCAGAAAGTGCCGAATTTTTTCCAACTAGAAATTCAGTAGTAACGAACAAAATAGAACCTCAGTGACCTTACAAGCATGGCAGTCAGCTGCTCTATCTATGAATCCAGTGATTGTTTCATGAAGAAGTTCTCTGGCATTGCAAACTGTGTCATTCTCTGTGTGAAAAGGAATTTCACATTCGTTGTTCATATGTGCGTTTCATTTTGGAGGATTTGCTCACTGCCTGTGGTTACAAGATGTTCTGGTTATAGATGTTGTACCCTAGCTTCCAAAAAGATTCAGATACACATAAATACCTTGTGTGCCTTTTGACATTTTCTATCTTCAGTTGTGTAACCAGCTGAAAGGAAGCTGTCCTATAGCTGAAGTAGAGCTAAAGATATATTTTATGTTGGATTGTTTGAGTATGGGTTATAAACTTAAATGTGCTCTAATATGAAAGGTATTTGCAAGTGCTTTCATGATCATTTTTCTTCCTTTTGTGTTTCATAGATTAAATTGTTCTGCATGCATCCTACAAAACAAATAATGATGGAGAACAAATTGGAGGTTCATAAGGACAGGACACTGAAGGAAGCTGTGGAAATAGCTTACAAGGTATGCTATGCATAACAGGATAGCAATTGTTAGATGTATTTTTCTGCTGTTGTGTATCCTAAGTTTTTAAATTTCTAATGCTATGAGAGTATTTGGGAGGGCATGGCTATGGATGTTTTTTGTTGGGGGTTGGTTCTGGGGAAGTTTTTTATGTTGGGATTTTTTGGTTTTTTTTTGTTTTTAAAAGTGTTGTAGTCACCCATTATTGTACGAGTTTTCTGTCAGTAGCCATCAGATGATTTCTGATTAGAATGATAAAGCCTGCCCTTTTAAAAGGCAGTATGATTTTATGTACCTTTTCTTAAAAATCAGAGAGAGCTGCTGTTAGACTCACCGTAGCCTCAGCAAGTTAAAAGAATTATGAACACTTATTTGTATTGCAGTAAAATGTTATAGTAGATACATAATAAGAGAATTCTTTCAAGAGTCTTTCAGTGTAGCTAATACAATAATAGCAGTGAACATCCAGGCATCTGTTGATCTTTATCTCCCACAAACAGGTAGAAGATGAAGATTTCAGTTCTTGCTTACCTACTTGTACATTTTGCTTCTTGCCATGTGTCTTTGGCTGGGAGAGTACCCGCCAAGGCACTTAAAGGCTTGGAATGTGTTAACATCTCCTTGAGATGCAAGGAAGATAATCAGGGGATATGACTTCCTCAGGCCTCTGTGAGGCCATTTGGTATAACTGATAGGCAATGTATTCCTCTGAAAATACTTCTGGGATCTGTCTTCATGTGCTTGTATACATACTTCCCAAAATTCCCTCTCTTCTGCATTTTGATGCAGGCTTCTCTTTTGATTTTGGAAATGTGCATATGTTGCATGTCTATGCATATAATATCTCTGATGTATGTGTATGTGTTTTCTAAATCCAAGGTGAAATTAGTGAATTCAAAGTGAGATATTTTTCCTTACAAGGTAAAAACTACATTCACAAATAAACCATTATTAAATGCTTGGGGGTTTTTTTGTGTGCATGATTTAGCTGATGGATTTAGAAGAGGTTGTTCCTTTGGATTGCTGTCGTCTTGTCAAATACGACGAGTTCCATGACTACTTGGAACGGTCTTATGAAGGAGAAGAGGACACACCAATGGGCTTGTTGCTGGGAGGTGTCAAATCAACGTACATGTTTGACTTACTGCTGGAAACAAGAAGACCTGACCAAGTTTTCCAGTGCTATAAACCTGGTGGTAAGACATGTAATTATATATAGACAAGGATAGACTAAAATCATATGTTGCACAAACACAGAACTTGTAAAACATAGAGCTTCAGTATGATGTACCAAAGAAGAAAAACTTGTTGTACTGCATTTTACAAAGTCAATATTTAGAACTACATACTGTGCTGTGTTGCTAACTTGTTTCTAATTGAAGCAGATCTGAGGTTTACTAAAATTAGTCAAACTGGAACTTTTTTCTTTCTTGGCACTACATTTGGTTGGAAAATTTAATTCTGAAATCGAACTGCTTTTCAAGTTTTTACTCTTTGTATGTATTTAATGCAACCTCTTAACCAGTACATCAGACCAGCATTTTTGTGTTTTCTTTGCCTGTTGAATTTTCTCTCTATGTATATATATGTGAGATTTTTTTTTTTCCTATTCCCTGCAGAGGTCATGGTAAAGGTTCATGTGGTCGACCTAAAGAGTGAATCTGTTGCTCCTTCAATAAGTGTACGAGCTTATTTGAATCAAACAGTTTCAGAATTTAAACAGCTCATTTCAAAGGTAATTTACAGTCTTTGAGGACTTGTATTACAGGGTTTTCATTCATTTTGGCTGTGAAAATGTGTCATAATTTAAGCATCTAAAATGAGAGCCTGCACCTTTTGCAGATCACACTGAGTCGTGCAGTACTTTTTAGAGCTGATCTTGCCTATCTGCTCCTTCCTGCTAAAAGCAACAGTCTGCTTCTTCCTGCCATCCAGAGTTCTACCCCGGCTTCTGCATAAGCTTAGCCACTGTCTGGCCATATCACTTATTAGCTTACTCAGTAATAACTTCTGTGGGAAAGCTGAAGAGTTGAGCTCATGTTCTTTTTGGTTAGTAACTTGAACCACCTCTCTGAGTGTCCAGTCGGTGACAGAACTAGTGAACTGTTACTGTATAACTGAACCAACATGTTATTTCCCCTCTTGTAATTGAAACTTAACATCCACAGCTGTCCACATTCTCTGTACAAACTCTCTTTTTCGTCCCAGCAGCTATTTGTTATTAAGATGCAAATTGATTTTTTTTTTTTTACATGGTCTTAAACCATGGGATGTTACTGCTTCCATTGAATTGGAAGACACACTATGCATGCTCAGTTCTGTGTAAGATAGTTCAGTGGTTGGTGTAACTACATAATATTTGTTATAAAACATGATTCCAGCATTTTGAATTCAATCTAATTAAGAATTAGGTGAGCACTGTGCAAAACCTGATGCTTGAAAATATTTCTTTTATTTTCTGTTGGTTCATAGACTAAATTATAAGACCAATTTCTTATATTACTGGTCATTAGCAATTTGCCACTTCTCTGCAAAGAAAGCCAGGCCATTTCAGTCATCTGACCTTGTGGAAAAACTACCATTTGCTCCATATCAAATCTCTAAAAATGAAAGGCTTGTTTCAGTATTTGAAGCTGTGTATAGTGCACGTTACCTCACTGTCGGTGTCTTGTTTTAGGCTACGCACCTGCCCGCTGAAACAATGCGCGTCGTGTTGGAACGGTGCTACAATGACCTGCGTCTCCTCAACGTTTCCAGCAAAACACTGAAAGCTGAAGGCTTTTTTAGAAGCAACAAGGTACATGCTCTGGTTTTTAAATTGTTTACTTTTTGTGTCTTTGTAGACTTGGCTGTTGTGAAAAGCGTGGTCTGTATAGAATTGATAATGGATAACCATCGTGTATTTTGCTGTGTACCGTGTGGGGTTTTATGTGCCCAGTGCTGTGGTGCTGAGGAATACTATAGGCTATATATGAAACTAGGTGTACCTAAAAGAGTGGATTGAGAATCTGGTTGTTACTCAGTGGTTCAAATGATGGTGAGGTTAACAACCTTATGATTAAGACTGTTAAAGGTCAGCCATTCTTAGGGAACAAAGACTGATACATTGCTGTGAAACCTACCTGATTTTTCTAAACCTTCTGAAAACTGTACCTGCTCTCAGTATTAAACTTCCCAAAAAAACAAAAGTCAAAACTAAAAGCAAGTTTTTGGTGGGTCTTCATCTTAAGTTCAGCAGTTTTCACTATGCAGATTATCCCTAGATAGTTTATATTATTTTTTCAAAAAAGACTTCTAATGTTTCCAATAATAGTTGTGCAATTCATTCAGAAAAAGATTTACTTAGTACTCAAATAACATTTTAAATTTGTACATTGTCTTTTTTACTGCAGTAGTTGTAACACATAGCACATTTTGCTCATCCTCTCTCTCTGAACTTTAAGCTCAATATCAAGTCTTCTGGATGAAGAAAGATTAGTGAAGGCTTTGGCTTATAGAGGAGCAAAACAATGGCATTGACTTGTTATTTAGTTACTTTGAGCCTGTTCACGTTGTCGCTGCAACAGAGGCCTTTGACAAAGGGGAAAAAAGGTGTTTGATTTGTACTATTGCTTACCCATGTACATGTTTAAAAGTTTCTTATGATGTTCTACTAGAAAATGAAGACAGACTGTCTGCTGGAGTTGTGGGGCTCATTGCTACCAGAACTAGTGCTACTGCACAGGTGAAGGGTGCACATGAGGTGATCTATGAGTATGCTTCTGAACATAAGCACTTACTGCAGCTGGTCAGTCTGGTTACAGCTCACTCCAATCTTAACATGATTATGAAAATAAGGAAAAGTGAAACCATTATAATACAAACTCCTTAGTCTGTCTTTTTCTAAGCGTGTATTTTAACTCTATTATAAAAGGTGATGTTTCTTGATGACGTTATTTCCGATGTGTGCTCAATCCTGTCTGTTTGCTATTGTCACTTTTATTTGAAATGACACTACGTGATGAAACACTGTTATTTTATGTTCAGGTATTTGTTGAAAGCTCAGAGTCTTTAGACCGTCATGTGACATACACAGATTCTCATTTATGGAAGCTTTTGGACCGTCATGCAAACACAATCAGACTGTATGTTTCATTGCCAGAGCAAGCACCTGGATCTCAGTTTAGACGAGGGGTTTATCAGAAGTCTAGTGGAGGTGCAGGCAACTTGGATGAAGCCTGTGAAAGAGTTAAAGGACCTGTAGGTAATATGAAATCTGTAGAGGCGATTCTGGAAGAAAGCACCGAAAAACTTAAAAGCTTGTCCCTGCAACAGCAGCAGCAGGAGGGAGATAATGGAGACAGCAGCAAAAGCACAGAAGCCAGTGACTTTGAAAACATTGAATCACCTTTAAATGAAATAGATTCCTCAGCATCAGCAGAAAACAGAGAACTTGAAAACCAAATTCAGATTTCTGATCCGGAAAATCTCCAGTCAGAGGAACGGTCGGATTCGGATGTAAATAACGACAGGAGTACGAGTTCAGTGGACAGTGACATCCTCAGCTCCAGTCACAGCAGTGACACGTTATGCAATGTGGACAATGCCCCGCTTCCCTTGGCTAATGGACTTGATTCTCACAGTATCACAAGTAGTAGGCGATCAAAAGCAAATCAGGGGAAGAAGGAAACCTGGGACACTGCAGAGGAAGATTCTGGAACAGACAGTGAGTACGATGAAAGTGGCAAGAGCAGAGGAGAAGCACAGTATATGTACTTTAAGTCAGAACCCTACGCTGCAGAGGAAGGCTCGGGAGAAGGGCAAAAATGTAGGTATTCCTTTTTAAGTGCCTTAAAATAATCCAGTGTTTATTACTATTTAATTCATATGCTGTGTTAAGATAATGACAATATTGAAAAACTTGATTATAATGTCAAATTAAATCTAACAAAAGTGCAAAGATGGCATGTGGTGTCACGGTCAGCAAAAATCTAGCCTAATTTAGATATTGGAATAAGTGATTACATATTTGAACAGTGTCTTGCTTTTTTGTTTTTAAGAAAATGAACATTTATTTATATGTAATGGAAGTGTTCTCTGGAGAGGAAGCTGCGTTGTCTTCCAGTGAAAGAAACATTGTTTCACCCGCTGCTGCTGATTCACCTGTTTCAGAATGCACTTATTTACTGTGGTTAACAGAGCAATAATTCTGTTACCATTTAGACTAACAAACCTGAGAAGTCCTAGTCATTTGGCTGTAAAGAAAGTTCAAATATACTTGATATTGAAAATTTAATTGAGTAGACCATTGCTTTTCACTGACTGAAGTACAGTAGGTACAATGATGTGTAAGGCTGACATGAAAGTGTCCAAACAAGTTCAATATAAGAGTGTAAGTAGTATATAATTGTCATAAAAATAAATCATTTAAACAATGCTCTGTACTTGCATATGTTTTATAACTAACAGAATAATAATTAAAGAACAGCAGAATGTAAGATAAATATTTTGGAAGGCAAATGTTTTCATGTCAATCCAGTAATCCTGATGTAATAATAATAGAAGAAAGAGGAAAATCACTTTTGCTGATTTTGTTTTGGGGTTTTTTTTTGTAAACAAACATTAAATTTTATAAAACAATGGAGAAATTGATTTGCATCTACTAGAGGTTTTTTAAAAATTACTCCTTTAGCTTGGAGTGATCTTTGGGGCTAATTTTGAACTGCTTTAATTTTTCCCTGTTTTGTTTTGGTAGGACTAGTTGGATTCAGGAATTATTTGTTTGCAGTAATTTTGACATTTTCATTGTACACTGTATAAATTACTATCCTGAGGGGAAAACTTTTATGTATTTTTAATATAGTAGCATGAACAGATTTATAATTCAAATAATTTATTTGTTATTTAAATATTCTGAATAGGAATTTCTTCTAGAAAGTCATGACATTATATAATCCCTACACAGTTTGTTGTGTAGTGCAAATTGCATGTATCAAAACCACAATTTTCTAAAGATAAACTATTCACTTTACTTTCCAGAATTCCATATTACTGCTGCGGCTTTTCCTTAATTACAAAATTATTCCCTAAAAAAGTCCCTTAATCTAGACTTGATCTTGCCTTGTGATATCCTGTGGCCTTCCGGAACACAGAATTTACGTAACTTTTTAATCCTGAAAACCAGGGTGGGGAAAAAAAAAAAAGGAGTTGAGTGGCATGTGCCTGGCCAGCCCCAACACCAAAGCACTGCTGTCTCTCCCTTGAGGCAGGGCAGAGCTGTAGGAAGATTATCTGCAATCACTCCATCATACTCTCTTTAGTTTTTGTCTTACTGGATGGAGAAGATACTACTTTGCTCCACTGCTACACTCATTGCAAACCAGGGCAGCTGGGAACTGCTGTGTCTTCCAGGAATATCTGCCCGTAAACACTTAATATGTAATATGCAAATATTACTTAATATTAATATGCAGAGCTTTTAAAGGTTACAGTAACAACGTCAGATAAAATGTGTTGTGGCCATTAACTGTAATTCAGACTTTTCAGTACTGTTTTGCTGCAAGTGATAACTGCAACTATATGAAAATCATGTAAGAGTTCTTTTTTTTTTTTTTTGGTAGCAGGGTTTTTCATGCCATTTTTATCTTTATTTTTGTTTAGGGCTGATGGTGCATGTTGATAAAAGAATTACGCTGTCTGCCTTCAAGCAACATTTGGAGCCTTTTGTTGGAGTTCCGTCTTCTCACTTCAAAGTCTTTAGAGTCTATGCCAGCAATCAAGAGTTTGAGAGTGTTCGGCTGAATGAGACACTTTCATCATTTTCTGATGACAATAAGGTTATTCAGAAGTTATTTTGAATCATTAAGAATATATTGGTACAATGTAGATAAACTTAACATAATTTACAACTTTTGTTAATTTGCCAGGTGAAGTAATTACTTTGGTCTTGGTAGTGTGTTACAAAATACAATTCTGATTTTGATACCAGTTCTAAGAGATACTCCTTTTGCCTTCTAGATAACTATTAGACTTGGAAGAGCCCTTAAGAAAGGTGAATACAGAGTCAAAGTCTACCAACTCTTGGTAAACGAGCCTGAGGTAAGGCATTGAATATTTCAATGTTGATTCAGGAAAATATTAATGTGTGCTTTGGCCAAGGTTTTCCTGTGAAATCTTGAGAAAAAAATGGAAGTCCTTCTTTTCTTTGCAAGTTTTCTTGGATTTAAAAAGGGAGTTTGAGGTTATTTCTCTTTATGCTGTTCCAAGTAAACAATTGGAATGTGATCTGCTGTATCTCTCAAGTGTCTTTCTTTCTACAGTGTAAATGCAGGACAAATGAATTGTTTCTTTGTTTCCCTTAAATGCATGACAGTCACGTAGCATTCTTTCCAAAGAAGAAACAACTCATGGTTGTGGTTTTCAATAATGTTGAACTGATCTAATTTGTCTCATTCATGTGCTTGTCAGAATGGTCAGCTGGGTAATAGTCCTCTCTGTGTAAGACAAGCCTGAAACAAAAATGCCTCTCTTGCAATAATGGAGCTCACGAGCTTGGGACATCTTTTGGGACATGAAAAGTATAGAACTGATGTCACTATATAGGTTGCAGTCTTTAAAAGTTGACTTTGCACTTTAATTTCATTTTTGGGACAAAACTGCAGAATACATGTTAATATTGGATAAGAGAATAAGCTGAAATGCTAAAGCAGGGAATAAGATAAATTTAAAAGTAACTTCCATAGAGTCATAAAGTTCTGGTCTGTCTGATCAATGAAAGCCAAGAAAGCAGCATTTTTATGATCATGTGGCTTATTTAATTTGAACACTCCTCTCCAGTTGTTTGGAATGTGAATGTAATGGTAGCAGTTAGCAGTGCAGCACAAGGCAGTATTTCTGCAGGGGCATTCAGGGTGTCTGAATGGCCTGCCAAAGGGCTGCTGCTGCACAGAGTAGTTATGCCCCATTTTAATTAATTTATTGCATACCTTGTTTGTGAGAAGCGTTCTACATTTTGCCAGGTGGGTGGGACTGGTCACAGAGCACAAACAGAGGCAAATCACATTTTTGTGTTCAGTGAATATTTAATCTCTTTCTGTTTATGTTCACAGCCATGCAAGTTTCTTCTAGATGCAGTTTTTGCTAAAGGAATGACTGTCCGACAGTCCAAAGAGGAGCTGCTTCCTCAGCTTCGAGAACAGTGTGGCCTAGACTTGACAATTGACAGGTAAAGAGACTGCAATCCATTGAAGTTACCTGATTGAATACTACTTTAAAGTGTGTTTTGATTTTTTTTCCTCTTGTGGACAAAGGAAGTATTGAAAGAAGCGAAAATAAGTTACTGTGATCTTTGAATCAGCCTGTGAATACAAACAGTAATTCACCAATTCTTGACTTTCATCTCATGCAGAACGAATTCTATAGGGAATAACATTTACATAGAATTGCCTGTGTGCAACATGTCTGTAATTTTAGATCTGATAAGTTGTATTCTCTCAGAAGGATGATTTCCTTCAGGAAGGAGAACATTAAGTCAATTCATAAAAAAGCCACGTGCTCTCTAGATGCAGCTTAGATCACTGCAGCAAAGCGCTCGTGCAGCATCACAGTGTGTGTGTACAGCACTGATCTGTCTTGCCTTTACCATAATAGGGTAATCCCTAATTAGGAAACTCTTCCTTTAAATCCCTACACATTTCTTCCACTGAACAGGCAGAACATGGGCTTGTCTTCCTTGTGTTTATGAATGATTCAGCCCTAAGCCAGTAGTGATACCCTGCTGTCAGGACTATTTCAGAACGTGAAATCTTTTCTGATAAACCTAAGCAAACCTTGCATTAATGAGCTGTGTTCTAGTTATGTCAGAAAATAGTCAGTTTTGATCTCTGGTGGTGCTAAGTGTTTATGAGCAGTTAGAAACTCAGTGTTTTCTTTGGGATGTATTTATAGGTTTCGCCTACGAAAGAAAACCTGGAAGAATCCGGGCACTGTGTTTCTGGATTATCATGTCTATGAAGAAGATATCAATATTTCAAGCAATTGGGAGGTCTTCTTAGAAATACTTGATGGTAATGATATAGTGTCAAGAGAAAGTAAAAGAGTTTTTTTCTTTAAAGGACATTGGAAACTATACTTTCCCTTTTCTTCCTTTTTTAAAGACTATTGCTGACATTTTAATGGAATTTTGTTAGAAAAAAATGGATGCGAAAAGAATTAAGAATAATAAAGCCTCTGTGAAGCTGGGGGCGATTGTGCAAGTGCAGATTTCCTGTGGCCATGTGTGCTAAAGGTCTCATAGCAGTACTTTGGCAGCTGTGTTCAGTTCTGGTATTTTTAATTTTTAACAGAGTTGTGCCAATACATGCCAAATGAACATGGGAGATTCAGGAGGCCTGTAGATTTCTATGGACATATGTATCAGCTCACACTGCAATTAAAACTTTAGTTTTAAATATTTTTTGGTTAGATTTAGCTAGTTGCTGTACTGTTTCTGTACTGTGTAGGTCTTGGAGATATAACTACTGTGGCCTCCCTAGTTCACAGACGTGTCAAATTATAGATTACAGGGCTTCCAGTGCTCTGTAATAGTTTGTAGAATTCTAGCTCTGCCCAAAAGGTGCTACTTTAATCCAATTGTAGAAGATGCAGCTTGATCCCGCTATAATCTGCAGAAATCAAATTGTATGTACTCACTGCTACCCCAGAGCAGCAGGTACTTTGTTCTAACAAAGAAGAGTGTCAAGGCAACTGCTGTAAGTCTGGGTTTGCATCATCATTGCTTTCATCTTTGCTGTCAGTATTTAGCTGAAGAGCTTAGGCAGGTAACTGTAAATTATTCTAAATTGCATTTATTTAAGTTTCTTAGCATAATGGGTTCACATCACACTGTTGCAGACATACTTAAATCAGTTATTCTGTGGCTCTGAAGAAAATTTGTGTAATTGCTTCAGACTTGAAATAAATGCTAAGAAGCACTAGGTGACTGTATCTTCACTTCAGACAATGGGTTAGTGTTGAAAGGTGGCACAAATGTAGTCACAGGCAAGGCTGCAAAAAGTATTTAGGGAAAAGCTTACAGAGTGGTGGTAGTTTCATGCAAAACAAGAATGTAAGGGTAGACAAATGTTTAAGCCACAAGTTCTGCATGCTAAGTTATAAAACTATAGACCAATTGAAAATATGAATAAAATCAGCCCTTGGATATCACTTCTGCTTATCTTGTAGTATAAACAGTATTACTCTATAAGCCAGTGAGAGCTCTGGTACCTGAAAGTGGTATAGAAAGGCTGGAGGCAGCACATACTGAAACTCTGGAAGGTGGTGGGTGTAACACAGGTTTTAATAACAAGTGTGGAGTTGGTATGGGAAATTTGGAAGTCAAACAGGGAAAGCTTATTTTGGTAAAGGAAGTGAAGCACATGAGTAAATACCAGATTGCTGAGGAAGGCCTCATGCAAATGTCAGACCTGGAGATCCGCCTCTGGTTAGGTGGATGGATATTGTATGGATAGCCAGGCTGGGTGTGATGGAAAACTGTGCCCTAAAGAAGAGCAAATAGCATGGCTTCTAGGAGATTCTGCCTATGAAAAATTCTCTGAAAGGAAGCTGACAACAGAAAAGTTCAACTAAATTCTAGTTCCTTCCCACTCCCCTTTTTTTCAAGTGAGCTACTTGCAGCACACTTACTGTGTTGCTTAGTTTGTATATATATCTGGAGGGCAGTCTTTCATATTAGTGTTTAATATAATTTAAAAGAGGATATTTTGTGATGTTAATACAATAAATTTCCTTTTTCTTTGCTAGGAGTAGAAAAGATGAAATCCATGTCACAACTTGCTGTTCTGTCGAGACGATGGAGGCCATCGGAGATGAAACTCGATTCTTTCCAGGAAGTAGTACTAGAAAGCAGCAGTGTTGAAGAATTAAAAGAGAAGGTAAAATGTGTAACATGATGAAAGTTTCTTGTGGTGACCAAGAGCCTTATTGATGTCCTCTATGGGGAAGCACAAAGATGTTATGGCTACAAAAATCTTGTTGCATGGTGATTAATTTTTTTTCCTGGGGAATCAGTAATCTATCCCAACCTATTACCAAAACGATTTGAATTATCAGCTTTACTTCTTAATTTCACATAATGGTCTGTTGTGAAAGTATTCAGGTGAATGTACACCAAAAGAAGTCACATTTTGAAGTTTAAGCAGCCTAATATTATCTGTGTCCCTTATCCTTGAAAAACACATGTGAAAGAAAAGCTAAGCTATTGTCACTGTGTGTTTTTTACAAGCTTTATTCCAAAATACCAAGCCTTTCAGCCTCTTCATATATGAATTTGAGAGCTGTTGCTTGGGGATGGTGTTACCAGTATCAAGTAGACTGAACTGTGTTTTGGTTGGAAAGAAATATGGCTGTGGTGTGGTTTGGTTTTACTTGAGGCTGGAACCCTCTAACAGGTAAGCAGACCTGTACCATCCTAGCAGAAGTCTAGAGTAGGGGTGTCTCGTATTGAGACTGTTTAGTCAATCCAGTAAATCAGAGTTCCACTGCTGGTGAAATGTTTATCTATGTGTGGCAATACCCAGATGTTAGAAGGCCACCTGGGATGTTGAGGGCAGCAGAAATGCTGGTATCAGTGGACACTGAGCATTGATAAGTTAGAAGAGGTTAGTGTGTGTACGCAGATTAAGCTACGGACTGGTTTCTTGTATTCTTTAGGTAGAAATGAAGATCTGACTGCAGGTTCTTGCATGCAGCCTTCAAGACTTCCTTCTCACTTGTATCTGAAGAAAGAGTTGGTTGTGCTTGTTTTCTTAGGAATTGATGTGCAGGGAGCAATTTTAACAGCATTTGCTCCAAGAGGCCTTAATCGTTTTACTGCTGCCAATAGTAAGAGAAATTTGCACCTGAGACATGTGCAGGGCTAATACATTTGAGTTTGGCTTTTGTCAGCAGTTTTTATTTATGCTTAGTTTCCTTCTGAAGGCTGGCTGATGAACCTGAGGATTTAACATGAGGCAGTTGGTCTCTTTTTATCTTGGAACATGGATGTTATTAATTAATTGGTTTTATGAACTTTTTTGTCTCCTCTTCAGTATTAAGAGAAGTGTGATGAAATACCATCACAGCAAGCATCACTTGTGACAAACACTGGTAACTTCAAAAATGTTAAAAATGTGTACTCTGTCACTGTAATTTTGTACTGATGCTTTGGATCATTGGAGGACTTTCAGATACTTTAATCGACTTCTAGATTTGGCAGATTATTGACTTTCTGTAGACAGTGTGTCATGTTGTTTTGGAATTGTATTAAACCCACCATTTTTCTTCACTTTACAGCTGAGTGAAATAAGTGGAATACCCTTAGAAAACATAGAATTTGCAAAGGTAAGTAAGATTGTGTGTATTTTTACTTTCTAATGGCACAGATATGTGATTGTGAGTTTTATTGTATTCACTGAGTAATTGTTCTTTCTCAGGGTAGAGGAACTTTTCCATGTGACATTTCCATACTAGAGATTCACCAAGACTTGGACTGGAATCCTAAAGTATCTACATTGAATGTCTGGCCTCTGTACATTTGTGATGATGGTGCAGTAATATTTTATAGGTATGCATTTCATTACGTTATAATAAACCATGCAAAAAAAGCTGTGTAAGATCTGAGGGATGATGTAATTGACAGGAACATAAAATACTCTTCTGTCACCATAAAGAAAAGAGGGTTTAAAACAGTCAGCTGAAATATTTGTGCTCCTCAGCTTCCTAAAAACCTATTAATTAAGTTTAAGAAAACAAGCACTGCACCCTTTTACTCAATCCTCCTTCCCAAACCACTGAAAATATTTTGCTGAATGCAAAACTAGTTGCTATGCTTATGTGTGGATTTAATATCTTAATATATCCCTTGTGGAGTTTGTGAATGTCTTGCTGTATGTTTTGGACAGCAAGGATTTTATTTTCTGAGTTTATTCCTTTGAGAAATTAATATGGCTTATTTGGAAAAAAGGCTATTAGGATAAAAATTTTATTATGCTGAAAAATGTTGATCAGCTGGTGGCAGTAGCCCAGAGGCAGGATTTGAGGACTGAGAGCTTGAATATTGTCATTCTTCTAAACTTAGGAGGTGGGGCAACCTCATTGCTTCTGTGGTATTTTTCATAATTGCATGTGAGTTGGGGGGGAAACAGCTGGTTGATAACGTGCTGGTCTGGATGAAAATTATTTGGGAGAACATCTGGTAGCTTCTATTAGGGGCTGGCTGACACGCTGCTTCCAGCTGTTGGCACTGAGAGCAAATACAGAGCACAGCCCTAGCTGTCTATAAAGAATAGGAGTTAGGGAGATGGAGGAGTATGGGCTTGTTTCTTCCCCTGGGTGAACGTGTCTGCTGGAAAAGCAGGTTTAGACAGATTGTTCGTTTCTGCAGAGGAGGGAAACAATCCCTAAGAATTGTTGTGCTTAGTTGTGGTTTTAATAAGTTACTCCAAGTGGAAAAAAAAAAAAAGGCAGAAATCTAATTACAGTTACTGTATTGATCCGAGTTTTAACATGTTTACGTTTTAGGGATAAAACTGAAGAATTAATGGAATTAACAGATGAGCAAAGAAATGAACTGATGAAAAAAGAAAGCAGCAGACTCCAGAAAACTGGACACCGGGTAACCTACTCTCCCCGTAAAGAAAAAGCACTAAAAATTTATCTGGATGGAGCACCAAATAAAGATTTGACTCAAGACTGATACTTGCTATAGCATTTTCCCTGGGGAATTTTTTTTGTTTCCAATAAAAAGGTTCACTACTACTGTGTAGTGCCATTACGGCAGGACATTCATTAGGTGTAAAGCGCTGACACCAGCACCGGGCGGGCGGTGACCCGCCGGCAGCGCAGGGCCCCGCCGGGTCACTGCTTGACTTGGAATCATGTTGTGCACTATAGTCAAATGTACTGTAAAGCTAAAAGGGATGTGCAAATAAAAGATTAGAACTAAAAAAAAAAAAAAAAAAAAAAAAAACAAAAAAAGTGGGCGGGGAGGGAATCGAGTGGAAATTTTTTGAGGACAGTGTGCACATAGTAGCTAGTGAAACTAGCCTCAAACAGGATACTCATAGCTTAATAATAAAAGCTGTGCAAAGGCCATGAAAGAATCCTTTTCTCTGTTTGTTTCACTGATACACGCATTACCTCATCAGAGAGTCGGAAGTAAACGTTAACACATTGGTCCTAGAAGAGCGGCAGAAAAGGGCCGGAGGTGGAAGTGCTGCAAGTGCAAGGTTTTATACTATTCTTCCATAAAACAGGCGGTCTGAGAGGTGTCTGCAGAAAGCTGCCAGCAGGCGCTGTTTGTTTGCAGAAGTGCTGTTGTAAGGTAAACTGGGGGTTTTTAATAGGTTACAGAAGCCGATGAGCAGCTCTAGTGTATTGGGTTCGATGTGTAAATAAAATTTGCCCTATCCATTCACCAGAACTGCAGTTCAGCTATTTACCATGCTATTTCTTTTCACATATCAACATTCATTGTGTACATTTGGAAGTATAGTTGCCTATTTAAATTTGTATTCATTTTATGTTTGATGATGCTGGGTACTTTAGGGTTGTACTTCCCCTTGTTAATTAAGTTTTTGTTTTGTTCCGCTACTTTTTGTACATTTTGTTTTTAAGGCTATGACAAGTTTGCATCTTCTCCACCTGCTGAAAGTCAGTTTATTATTCCCAGAGTTGATTCCATAGCTATATGTAGTCAAATATTGGGGCAACCTCTAACACCTCAACGTACAAACTTAGTAGTTCAGGCTGTGGTGCAGAGACTGATGCAGTCAACATGATTTCATTGCAAAGCCTAGGAACAGCAGTTTTTTGCTTTGGTCCATAAAGATCAATAGAGAACAATTCTCCATAGTTTTTGGGAAAAACCACCTAATTTATAACAATCAAAAGATTTTGGTAAACTTTTTCATGCCAGATGCTGTTTACAACAATGAACATGCCAATAAAACATTTGTTCATTCTGTTGTGTTATTTTAATCATTAAATGCTGTGGTTTTTATTTAAAAAAATATGGAATTATTTCATGGAAATACAGACTTTCCCAAGGCAGTGCTGGAATTGTAAGGCTGTGTGTTTGTGTGTATGTGCACATCCCCCCATGTACAGAGTGTTACAGGAAGTGGTTTATAGCTTATCTGCTTAAGTTCCCACCCATTTTTTCTTCCACTGTGAGTTTCCTTTTCCAGAATTGAATTTCTCACCAGTGAAACTTCCAAGTTCCAGATATGATGGACAGCTAATTTCTGCTCCAGAGGGGAAAGGCAATGTTCAACAACTGAACCTTCAGGTCTTCCTTGCATGCTGGCCCACAGCAACCTAAAAATCCTGAGGAATCTGGCAGCTTGAGAACCAGGCACTGCACAGATGAGCTCCCTCGTTCTTCCTCTTCCGTTTGTCCTGTGCTGCCCCTTGCCCAACGTAAGTGAGGTGGAAGAGGGGACAAAGGGCAGAGAGGGAGTACCATCCTCTAGGCAGGGTATGTCATTAAACTGCCCTTTACCATTTATATAGACTGCAGAAGGAACCTTGGAGCTTTTGAAGAGAGGAAAAGAATTACCTATCAAATGGATCATGAATTTTCCTCAAAGACATTTGGAGAGGCAAAAATCTAGAGATGAGATCTGAGGACTGCAGCACCAAGAATTTGAAGGGAGGGTAATACTATCATTAAGAGAGCAATATTTACAGACAGTTACTGCTCTCTTTAGTGTTTTTTTTAAACAGATTTAATTCCTTCTCTTTGTATAGATGGGCTGTCTCTAAAGTACAATAATTTTATTGGGGATAGAAAGGAGAGGTGAATTCAGTAAACTGTGCCTGGGTGTATGTGTTGGTGTGAGAATTGGTTGTAGAATCCTTAAACTGAAAGTCAGACTGTTCTGATGAAATATCATCGTGTTGATTATGATTATTAACATTAATTCTGGTACCCAAGGAATTTATTGAGAAGCTTTCATAAGGCAGACATGGTGAAAGATGTGCAGGCTGGTAGAACAGTCTTACAGCTGCTCCTGTTGGTGCTCTGCTGTTCCAAATTAGAGATAAGCAGTAGGGATTGTTTGGGAAGAAGCGCCATGAAGTTACTTGGCTGGAACCTCATGTCATGTTTTCCCATGTGGAATAACAGATGGTGAAATCTGTACCCCAGAAAACCATTAATAGTGGAAGAGCCATTGAAGCAAACTGATGAGACAAATGGGGAGTTGGGTGGATTGGATTTTACTCTTGGCTTGCCATCGATTTCTTAAATCAATGACCTCTTAAAGATGGTCACAGTAAGCACATCTTGTGACATGCAGAGGTTTATGCCTGTGAAGTGTATTAAAAGCATAAACCATTGCTCAGAGGTTGTTCTCTGGGTGTAAGTCTCTAAGTGCAAGAAGCTATTTCAGTTGTCTTACTGCTAAACTGAAGTCAGGAATTGATGTTCACTGCCCCTGCATCTCACAAAGGGCAGGTGATGATGGAATGTAGCCAACAGGTCCTTAAACAACATTCCCCCAGGAAGGAATGTTCATGTGGTGCAGAGTGCTCCATGGCACTGTGACACCCACAAGCTGGATGTTGCAGCTTCACTGACCATATTTTCTAAAGGAAAAAAAAATTAAAAATTCCTTAAAATTAATGACTACAGTAGTTCAAAGTAGATGGTTCATACTCAAAAGTCACTCTTGAAGTTACTAATAACTTAAAATTATTTATGCTCGTGTGTATTTTTTAATGAGTATAAGTACTAATAAGTTTATTTCTGATGTACACGGGGAAAAAACTAATCCAGAAGAAACACTTCTCATTTGACAGGTTTGGTCCAAGGACTGAATGAATTCAACAGCAATTGGAACATGCAGGTTTGGTGCACAGAGAAGTATTTTCGTTGAAGACCTTGTTTATTGCACTTCTATCCAGCAGTGTGTGTTTAGGGTTTATATAAGCAAGACACTAGACAAAAAATTGCTAGAAATGACTAACTAAACTGCCTGGTGCTTGGACTTTAAATTTCATCTCCCAAAACCAGGTCCTGAGCTGAGTCAGGCTCAGGCTTCAAACCTGCTTGCTCCTCCAGACTTTTTAATTCCCTACGCACTTCCTGAATGACACTGCTTTCTTCATAATCAGAAAGAATATCTCTGGGGATTAAGCTGAGAAATGGCATCTCATCCATGATTAAGGGATCTTCTTTTTCGTTATTCCGGGTTTCATTGGCAGACGGTTCACACACAGATGTAGGGCTGTGGCTGTTGGAAAAAGAGAGACACATCTGGTCACACAGAACAGCATTTTGTGTTCTGCTGGTTTCTTTATACAGTTCACTCCCCACATGAAAACATGTTAAATGCATAATAGATCTATCCTAGCTGACTTCATGAAGATCTGGGGTTTTTACGTGCTTGACAGCTGGAGAGTTTTCCACAGAGCCTAACAACACAAAAATGTTTGATCCTGGGACACAAGATGGCAGTGGCCCTCAGCACAGCCTGGCCCTTCTGCAGGCACTGAGGGTGACTAGACCTTGCTGTTCATGTCATAACACCGAGTTAAGAAACACAGTCATCCAGCTTAAGAGAAAAACTCTGAGCTTTATGTATTTGGTTCCTCACAGTGCAGTGTAATCACTACAATTGCCAATCCTGTTTTGTGAAGCCACCTTGAAAAGTGGCTTCAGTTGCCTGCAAATAAACATCCCACGTTTTTTGCAGCAACTATGAAAGAGAAAGGAATGATTTATAGTTGTGTTCAGGAGTCAGGGGAACAGAACTTGATCATGGTTCCTCTGCTATTTCCCTGCAGTGCAGGGCATGCAACTGGGCTACATGTCCATGTCAGGTGAGCACTACTTGTGCCAGGCACCCCTCAGCAAATGCTGAAAGCTGTATCCTCTTCCACTGGAAACAGCATAAATGAGCTAAAGATGTTCCTGAAGCTTGTTTGCTGTATATTTTGAATTCTTTTGCTCTCTAGGAGTTCCAAGACTTCCATTTGTGCACGGACTATCCCTGTGTTCTCTTTGGTATAATCTAATAGTTTCAGTGTTTATCAGTTGCTTGCAATATTTAGCCAAGGGCCATTTCAAGCAGAGGTGGACTGTTTCTTTATTAAAAAAATGTCAGAATCTTAAAATTCAGATAAAAAGTTCTTTTGACTATAGCTGGACAGTTCAGTTATATTCACACCCTAAGTAATTTCTGTGTTTATATGTCCTCATCTGAAATGTCTTCCTTCTAACTAGATATGACATTTGCTGACAGACCTTCCCTGAGGTTAATGGCACATTAACTAAAATTTTGGTGCAGAAAGGATGGGATCAACTCTGCTTGTTTCCTTAGATGACATTTATGGAACAAAATGTTACCCGATTCCTTTTCATGCATGAAAAAATGTAGAAAGAGTTGGACACACAGGAGAGAAGTATTAATATACATCTCTATCCCAGCTATGCTGTCTTGTTGGAAGTTAATATGATGCTGGTAGGGTGGGAGCAAACTTGGAGAATTTCATAGAAAACATTTAAGTTTTCTAAAAATGCTTTTAATGCAAAACTGAAATGATCTCCCTTCCCCCAGTGAAACTGCTGATTATGCAAATCACTGTCCTTTTAGAGAATGATTAAAGGCATTATCTATGCAAAGTTTTAACTTCAAGCAGAAAACAGCCTGCTTCCTATTTGGGGAAACTCAATGGTAGTGAAGAAGTCTGCACAGTTTGAAGTGTTTCAAGTCTGAGAGCAGATCATAAGTTAGTGGTAGAGAAACTGGCACCCTGGGTTAGTTTGAAACGAGGGGAATGTGCAAACAAAGGTAGATTAATTTTTTTTCTTCAATACATGTGCCCATCTGTAAAGCTGGTCAGTAGTGCAGGAAATACTGCATGTATTTAAAATATCTTTCATGTGTCTTACATATGAAAGCAAGCAAAACATCTAACAGAAGCCCAGCCTAACATAGAAAGATGGTGGACAAAGAACTGTATGCAGAGGATTAAATTGAAATGATACATCTCAACAGCTGTTAGTACTGACTGATTAAAAAGCAGTAACAGCCTGATTAACTCACAGACTTAATTCACATGGGATTAATGTGTTGCCAAACTCATTAAGGCACATTTGTGTGGGACAAAGCAGAAAGTTTCAATGCTACTGATGAGAAAAGTTGTCAAAACATTTTCTAGTGAGGCAGACTCTGCGAGTTCTGTAGCTGTTTACCACAGAAACAGACCCCTCCAAATTTTTAAGCAGGTTGTCTGCCCGGTTTTGATCTTTACCTCTGAGGCTGGCAGATCAAGCCACTTGCACATGGGCACTGCTCGAGCACTCCATCGGGTTCCAGGTCCCAGGTGATGAGGTTGAGAAGTCTGTTGGAGGGATCATGGCAGGGTTCACCTTCCTCAGGTAAGGGTGTGCACACAGGGAACAGCAGCTCTGTGTGCCAAAGGAAAGTCATTTTATGAGAAGTCCGTGGCTGTCTGCTAACCTGAGATGACCTCATTTCTGAAGTGTGTATGCATTATAGAAAAAGACAGATTTGACCTCTCTTAAAGTCCCCTTACAAATAAAGGAGCCATAACTTAATGTTTTTTCCACTAGGTGGGAGTAAGACATTTGAAGTTTATGCTTAATGAGCAAGATCAACTCCTGCTCTTCCCAAAGAGAGTGAGTGTCAAGACAGCAGTACTGCACAACTCCAGCCCTTGGAGATTCAAAAGGTTATTATAAACCCAAGAAAAAATTACTGTGAATCCTTTGCAATGGTTTAAAATCTGAATAGAGAAATACCTCTGTATTTTAGAACTGTTAGTTTTCCTATTTCTTTGCAGAGGTTACAAATATACAGAGCAATTGTTCAGAGACTAAATAATGAGGTTGCAAGAACTACAACTCAGACGTTTAATTTATTACAGTAATACTGAAACACACAAAGCTGTCTGGCATTTGGGGCTTGGCACCCTTGTTTGTTTCTGCACAGGGATGAATTTCAAGTTGTGTAAGAAATTATTTTAGAAGGCTACATCCTCTGGGTTTCCTGCTGCTAGTAACTTATAGCATCAGTCTGGAATTCAGATTTCCAGATGTTCCTATCCAACCTCCCTTCCTCCTCTTGTCTTCATTCTCCTCATATGGCAGAATAAAACATGAGAGGAATTCAAAATTTAGATTTTTAAAGCAGACTTTGTGTATATACACATATATGCTTCAATGTATATGACCTATCAGTTCCCAATTTCAAAACAGATTCTATATTAACAAGTGAATACCTCATAGTTTACTACAGCTTTATGTAAAAAAATACACATCTTTATTAGGACAACCTTTTGCAATAGTCTGGTGATGAAGAAAGGCTTTGAAGTAGGCAGGCCTAACCTGAAAAACCCTGCTAAAGCACACAACTATAGAGAATAAAAATTCATTGCTATTTATCAATAGCTCTATTTCAAGTTCTAATAAGTGTATTCTATCCATTTTATCAATATTCTTATCTATTGATTTATGTAGGCATATATATATATAAAAATATATTTTTTCTCTGTAACTATATCTGTTGTTCCTTCCTGAGTTACAGGTTTGTACTAAATTTCTAGTCAAGATCTAAAGAGCAGCCTGGTGCTACTAACACCAATGGGATGCACACTTCTAATTTACTCATCTCTGCAGCATAATCAGATTCAGAGTCCTGCATGGTGAGAGTAATAGGCATGTATTAAAAATGCTCTTCCTGTCTTATTTCAGAATCAGAGTACAAAGAAACCTCTGAGAGAGCTTGGCAAAACCTGTAAATGCTTTAGGCAGAACCTGTTGAAGAGAGGAAAAACTGCTCCAACCAAAACTTGTTGAAACCAAACGTGATGAAACCAAATTGAAGGTCCACTATGTAATAGTCAAAATCAACATGGGAAAGCTGAGCATATCTTTGGTTTTCCTGAAATGCCCTGGCAGCCTGATCCACCAGCAAGCTGACAGCAGGACAGGCACCCCAACCATCTGTGAAGGTACAAGGTCACGTCTGGCTCATAGCAAGAACCAGGAAGAAAGCTAGAGAAGTATCTACCTGGTGTAGGGAGGTGGTTGGAAGTGTGCTGTGTCACTACAAAATTAAGGTGAATTATGAAAAATGCAGTGAGAAACTAGTGGGTATAAAACAGTAAAAGAAACTGGACCCTGATCAGGCAGGATTTGGGATTAATTTCAGGCCTGAGACCTTCTCCTCCTGTCCTCCCTTCCGTAAATCAAGTTTCACATTCCCATGTGGAGCGACAACATAATCTGGGACATCATTCCTCTGTGTATCTTGGCTGTCTGGTCAGTATTGCACAGTGTGGTGCCCTGGAAGGCACACATAAAACTCAGAGTATGAAATGTATCTGCAGTCTGATTCTGATAGTCTGCTTGCTGATAGGAAGGAGAAGCCACTTTCAGTAATCTCATCATTTCTTCTGTATATTTTTAATTCTCTTATTTTTGCTCTATTGGGTGAAAATTTGACAACAGAGTTCTGCTACTTTTAAATGTGTAAGATTCCCCTTTGGAAACATAAATTTTTGTGCTTCTCATGCTTGTCTCATCTCTAGCGAGCAACAGGCTTTTCTTTCACCATTGTGCACCCCTACCAGGCTGTTTCTCCCTCCTAATTCTATCAAAGTTTTATAATGAAGTTATAGGTGACGTTATATAAAGGGAGAATGACCTATCGATTCTGTAGAGATTTAGCGACTTCCCCTGGCAAAAGAGGGGATATATTATATATTATACAGTATGATGCAATGAATAGGATAAGCCCCTCTGTACCTTTCTGAAAAGCACAGCACATTCCAGGGTTGCAGTCGTGTTGGTTCTCACAAATGGTGCCGTTCTCTCCTTTTGAAGTGGATTTCCTGCACTCGCCCCAAACGCAGAGCTGGTCTCCACAGCATTCAACATCCCGGGAGCAGGGCTTGCAAAGGGAGAAGGCACGTGAGAAAATTGTCACTTTAGCACTAATTGCTTGTAACACAGACAGCTAAACATAGAATTAACCCTGGTCCTGAAGGCAACTGCATGTATGTGCTTGTAATATATGTGTGTCATATTCCCACTGTTTAAATAGAAATGCTTAGGGTTCTCAGTTTAAGCCTACATAGAACTTTTTGCCAGACAGGAACCTCCACACTACAGTAACAGCACCCCTTCTACACTAATATACTTCCAATACTACAAGACATGAATTCTTATTTTAGCATTCACATGAACACTGATCAGCAGCCAGACACCCCACGGTGTGGGTTGGACAGGGCCTTAAAGGTCATCCAGTTCCAAACCCCACAGCGTGGGCAGGGACACCTTCCACTAGACCAGGTTGCTCAGAGCTCCATCCAACCTGGCCTTGAACACTCCCAAGGACGGGGCATCCACAGCTTCTCTGGGCAACCTGTTCCAGTGCCTCACCACCCTCACAATAAAGAATTTCTTCCTAATATCTAATTCAAACCTGCCTTCTGTCAGTGGGAAGACATTCCCCCTTGTTCTCTCACTACATGCCCTTGTAAAAGTCCCTCTCCAGCTCTCCTATAGGTGCTGGTATTCTCCTTTAGGTACTGGAAGACTGCTTTAAGTTCTCCCTGGAGCCTTTCCTTCTGCAATCAAGGGAAATAAAAATTAAGAAATTAATCATTATCAATGGAAAACATTACTGATTTTTTTTCCATTGTTAAATACAGTCAGGAATTTACAATTTGTTCAGAAGGATTGTTTTCAAAGAGCACAGCAAAAAAATCTTACTAAAATCCATTTGCAGTTGTAATAAGAACCAGATCTCATTGGTAACCAAGAATCTTTGAAAAAAATCCCTGAAAAAAAAAAAATCTCTTCGAAAAGCAGAAATGCAAACCTCTAGCTAAAGATAGCTTTGTGTGACAACTGCCCCAAGTGTTTCAACTACACACACCTAATAAATCAACCTAATAAAAAGGGTGTGTCACATTGTTCCTTTTTTTAGGAACAATCTAAGATTAACATCTTAGAGATTCCTAGCAGGTCAGTGCTTTAACAGCTTTTTCCTGTCTGTGTTAAGCCCTGTCTGGGCAGCCATACAAAATCTGAATTTCTTTTCCAGTGAATCCCACAGGAAGTGCTTAACACAGGGCAAAGAGTAGGACTGCACTGGTACTATTAAGACCTGCTAACTGGGGAGAAAAATGCTTTGTAATTGCAGGGATTCAAGGTCAGGGAATTGATCCCACCTCCTTCAGTCTGAGCTCACTTTACAACAGCTAACACCCCATTTTTACTTTCTTTATCCTACAAGTGTTCTGCTGAGGACTGAAAAGAAAAGGTGGGATTATAGGGGGGCATAGGTGAGGGGCAGCCTGATCTTTGTTTTGAATTATTTCATCTTAACATGAAAAATTATCAGTTTAACATTTTCTAAAATACAAAGAATAAGCTTTCTCAATGACACTTATAGGACATGATCAGGATTTTAAGCAAGCATTCAGTACACTGAAGTCAATAGAGCTCCCTGAAGTTATCAAGATAACTATTTAAATCATTTCAGGAACAGCCTGGTGCTTTTAGGTTATAACAATCCTATTCAGTTTACATGAATTTACAGTAACATTTAGTTGCTTGTACACTGGACTGTCTGCAAATGCTTTGAGGAGTGAATTTGTTTTGCAAGAAGCCATCAGCAGAATTTAGTTGAAAAAGGACAGTCAAATAAAAGGGCTTTTTTGACAGGCTGCTTCTAAACTGGATTTTGATCACAGAAAAAGCCTGAACTTCCCAGGCATCTGTCCCTTACAGAAGATAATCTAACCATAGCTGCTATTAAGAACATTGATCTTCTAGCTCAAAAGACAGGAATTGACTGCTTCCTGAGGTTCACAGATTCAAATAAGAGAAGAGGGTCCTGTACAGTCCCCACTGCACTACAGCACTGTACAGTTTGCCAGTGAAGGGAAGAGGGCAGGCTGCTGCAATTCCCTTTGTGAATCCAGAGCTGGAAACGACCAACTGTCAGCTGAGCCTTGGGAGCTGCCACAGTATTTCCTCTTTTCCCATTCCACTGCCAACCTACAATGTGTTAGCTTATGCTGTCCTCAGGCCACCCAACAAGGCAAGCTTGAGTCAGGAGGAGCTCAGGGCAGATTTTGGAGCATATGAGAACAGAAACCTTGAAACCGAGTTTTGTTAACAGGAAGAAAAACCCCACCCAACCCAAAAAACTCTACGCATTCATTTTTTTTACCCTCATGCAGAAAGCTTTGCCGCTTCTTTTCTCCCAATTTCGGCTTGTTGACATTAGCAACAATAACATTGAGTTTCTACAGATCACATAAAATCACGTCTCATTCAGGACTTACTGTATGCTGGGTTTTGCAGAGCTGACATTTGTATTCAAAGGTGGAGAACTGGCAATATTTCCCTGTTTCACAGTCTTCATCGATGATACACTCCTGAAGAAAAGGATAAAAGTGTAAGTTGCCACTGTGTGACTGAAATCTGTATCTCTTCTTGAAATACCAGAAGCTCTTGATTGATTGTATTTCTTACTTGGGAACCAAGGAAAAAAGCTTGCTTCAATTCTTCATACAGCCACAGCTCTGTTAACAGACCAATGTTATCTCCCTGGCTTATCTAAATACTCCGGCCTCAAATTGTTAGGTGGCTTCACTTCTTGTATACGTATTAATACCAGCTACCTCAAGAGAAGAAATTATCTAGTTCTGCAGGCTTTTTGTGCTTTTGTTGTTTGGGGCTTTTTTTTTTTTTTGATGGGGGGCATTGAAGTCATTTGTATTAAATCTGCTGTATTTGAGTACAGTTGTGATTTATTACTTGTTGTTTTTTTCAGATGGGGGACAAGACTGAAGCAAAGAGGCTACACTACTGCAGCCACAGCAGCCAGGAGTATCTTTATGCTCTGTGGGAGACCCTTCTGCACCAGCTTTCTTGATCTCAGGCCAGGTAGCTTTAAGCTGTCCTCCCTCCTCTTCCCCAGCAACATCAGTGCCGGCATCAGAAACTCCCCAGCATGCTTGGCTTCACTAAACCAGCAAGGACCTCCCTAAGGGAGAAGGGGAATGTGTTTCCTTTTGCTTTTAACTGTTCCTCTGCTCCCCTTTCAAGGGGCACAGGAATTCTTCTCAGGCAATCTTCGCAGTGGCTGAGTATTTTTGTCAGCAGTTATTTCTACGCTGAAAAATGCAGTTCTTCCTTCTGCAGGACTGGTAACGTTCAGCATCCCTGGGGCTTCATGGTAGCAGCAGCACTACTGCACAGCCAGTACTTCTGGGAGGCATGGATGTAACACACCACTGGATTTCCTTTTCTTGGCTGGTGGCATGTCTCTCATGTACCTGTCACCATAGCCCATCACCTACAACCTCATTGCTGCAAACGTCTAAATACCTACATGTGTAAGTTTTAAATCCTTCCTTTAATTTGATTTGAACATTGCAAAATATGCAGGAGCAGATTCTCAGCTGGCATCTCCCTGCTCTCAGCAGAGGTAATTTACATTTAGTAATATAAGATTGACAAGTACTAAAGAGCCCCAAACATCCTAGGGAAAAACAGCCCCACATTCCCTAGTGCATCGGCCTTTGCTACCCAGCCTGGACTCCAGGATAGGCCTCAAGCCAGCAAAGGTGCCTGAGCACATCTGGCTTTTCAAACCTGGGATCATTTCACAGCCTGAACAAAAGTGTTCGTGGGAGAGGGACACCCGAGTCTGAATCTGAATCACAAACTCAGGCTGAAGTTTCCTCACCCAGAGGTCCTACGAGCATTGTGGAAGAGACA